GATCCAAAATATTATCCAAGAGATTCAGATAAACAAAATTAACCATATCCGACAGCGGATCTTCCGATTCTCTAATCAACAATTCATCTGGAATTGTTATAATAGATTCTCCATCAATATCATCTCCAAGATTACCATCCCCAACTTTAAGTAGCCACTCAAAAAATTCTTTTATTTCCTCGTGTTATTTCTAACACAAATAACCTTCCAATGATTCCATCTTTTTTTAGATAATTTAACACATAAAAACTATTATTTTATACAATTCAAACAGAATTCTTCGTGTTATGGTTGATTAGGAATTAACATATCTATATAATTATTTTTCTTATATTGACTTTTTTAAAAATTGATTATTCACAGTTGATTTTTACCGTTATTTTTAACAATTAATACAAGAATATGCTTGATTCCGCTTAACGAATATTTTGAGTTTAAGGTTTTCTGAATACAAAAAAATTTCCCTCGGAGAATAAATTTGTGATTGTTAATTTTAGCTTCCATAAAGAATTTAAAAATAGAAGAATTTATGATGGTATTTTTTTATAAATTTTTTATTGCTAACCCAAAACCCCTTCTCTCTCGATACTAAGAATTTTTGTGTACTCTGTAAGAATTTTATTTTTTTTTTTCTTTCTGTAGCTCCGCCGGTCGTACGTAGTTTATGCCCAAATAAAGTATAATGTTCCTTCGTTGAATTGACATGTTTTGCATTGCGTTGTGATAAAAATGGAAATAGAGGGAAAGATTCTTCACCCATCACATGGACCAGGCTGTAGAGACAGACAATTACAAAATAATGCGTACTCAATGTTGACCTTGTAGACCATATCTGAGCGGAAATTTCTTCCCTATCATCGTTGCACTGAATTTTTGGTGTATTTTTTACTTTATAAAATAATATTTGTCTTATTTTTTATCTAATAATTAATAAATAATTTATTTTAATACCAGTTGAACTAGTAATTTGACACAAAAAAAAAGGACACATATTACATTATAAATAAAAAAATGCATCAAAAACTTAGTACATTGGTAGCACAAAACAAATTCTCTATCTAAGCCTCCCACCTAACAAGTGTGGACACGCAAGTTTTTGAAAAATTTGCTTGTCGCGGACACACTCCGACATGTGGTCAACATTTGAAGACACGCGGTCAACTCTCCGATACGTTCCGACATATTTTTTTTTTAAATCTTAATTTTATTTTGTTAACTAAATATAAAAGAAATAATTTATAAATTAATTTTTTTCTGTTATGAAATTTGACACGAAAAATTAACAAAGTACGAAAAATTATTTATATTTATATTTATGTTATGAAATTTAAATATTTGATTGGTTATATTACTTATTATGGACTCTTCTATGTATTAAATATAAATTATATTTATTAAAAAATTTATTTAATATCAAAACGTGTCCTAACGTATCGAAATATGACATTTTTTAGAATTAACGTGTCGACGTGTCGTGTCTCGTGTCCGTACATCATAGCTTCCCACACAGATTTCAACGGCCTTGATTCCATGATACAGAAAAGTCGTGCCAGGGTCCCACAAGACCATTGGACTTTCACCCATCTGCGTTGGAACTTGTGAAAATCCAACAATGCCGTATGGGCCTCCACTAATGGATAGGATAAGAAGGGAAAAGAAGAAGAAAAGATGCCAAATAGTATAATCCAATTCCCAGGATTCAATTCACATGCAGTTGAACTGTTGTATAACTCTATACGCAACACAAAATAATTGCTTACAATTATTCAAAAGATGACAAGAATCCAAAGATTGAAGTTACTCGTGACCATGTGAGGTTAGGTAAACAAAACAAAGCCAAATAATTTGATTTCGATAATCAAATACCTTTTTGTTGTTAACCAATGTGTTAAAACTTACAGAGGACTCTAGTTTGGACCACTACTGAAAAGGAGTTCTTTCTGCCTTTCTCTACCCTTATCAAATCTAAAACTAAATCAGAAACAAGGAGAGTTATATGCGGACCGTTTTGTATTGTGATTTTCGGATTATGTAATATGATTAAACTGATTCTGTAATACTTCTTGATATCCTTGGCTTGCTATTGGCTTAGAAAAAAGAATGTTCTATCACTATTGGTTACTAAATAATTCATCCTTATATTATTTTCTGGTTTATAGTTTAATAATTCATCAGTCGTACGTACAGAACAGTAAGTTCAGTTAATGTATTCCAATTCCAACCATGGATTCCTGTTAATAGTTGATGCGCAACACGTTTATGCGCGAAAAAGCGACTTTTGTAATGATAGGAGAATTGCATGGTTAGCAATAGCAAGATGAATAGTTTGGTCTTTTTCAGTTGGGATATATTTTTCTTATGTTGTAGGAAAAGAATTATCTTATGTTGTAGAAACAAAAGTATAAGTGGGACCCACATGTAAGAGGAGAGAGAGAAAAAAAATGGTGAGACCCAATTCCTTTTTGTGTGTGTAGGAGAGATATTTATCTCATATAAAATGAGATAAACATAACCCTTTTCAGTTTTGCAATTATTATAGAAAAATCCAAGAGGACTGACTGGATCTAGATTCCCCCATAATTAACTAGACGCGTTGAATATCTGCATTTCTAGATTCATCCAACTCTTGGTGGGCCTCTTCCATGGTCCGTGTATAGGGATGATGTCCCAGTTTACACGTTGTCACGAAAGTGATCGCTTCCACTAGTGTACGTAGCATACGAGGTGATTTAGTGTGGGCCTGGACTTTATAGTCCTTGACCAAAAGTGGAAAAAAAAAGGAATGAGATGGCATTTGAATAAAGAGAGAGATTGAAATGCCATTTTTTTTTGCCCTTTTTTAGAAAAGTTGCACCCAAAGAAGTGTGGGCCGGCCCTATATTAAAAAAATCCGTAGCATACAAGTTTATAGAGGTTCTACAGTACAAAGTATGACACTATGACGACATTTTAACCGATTATTTGAATAAAATGTTATTAATTGTGCGTGTGAGAATATAATTTCTAAAATGGTAAGAGGAACAATGCAGAGAATGAGTCATTGCCCTGCTATGCGACTTATAGGTAAATTTTTCATAATTATTATCGAAATTACGGTCAAAGCTCACGCTTTTGGATAGTTTAATTTTTTATAATATTTTGTTGAAGTTGTGATAAAAATTCATGACTTAATATATTTTTAAATTTTTATATTATTTTATTTGCGCTATTGCTCTTGGTCCGAACTTGTAAATATTGTTTTAGCAAGTCATAACTTATATATTATCAAATACATTTAAAATGTAAAGTAAAAATAACTTCCTTGATTCACTAAAAAAATAAATAACTTCCTCGGATGCTGACAAGTAAGCTGATGGATGGATCTTGTTTAGCGCATGCTACACTTTCGATTTAAACTCTGCACTTTCTTCTATCACAAAAGAAATGAAAACATGATAGCAGATTAGCAGATATTTTTACTTATTTTCTCTGGACGTTTAGTAGAGAAGAATTTTTTTTTATTCGAGAATCTCGATTTTAAGAAATATGATTTTTACATTCAGTTTACGATAATATCCAAAAATTAAAAATTTAAAAAAATTCAGTTTCCCGAGAATCTCAAATAATACTGCGTACCAAACGGGCCCTAAAAGGTTCAATTACTTTTGGGCTAAGACATCTTGTAAAGGACATTTTGTTTCTGCTGAAAATGAAATAGAGAACAAGTCGTGGGCCTGCAATCCCATTGGTTTTTGTTGTCGTTGTCAAGCCCGTTTAACTTGAAGATACCGAGTCCAACTGACTTTTTATCCTTCTCCTTTTTTTTCTTCTTCTTGATTTTAACACGCGACAGCATCAAATTACTAAATTTTTCTGTCGATGCTTTTCTATTGAAGTTGATCATATCATAGTAATTAACTTACAGTCACGCCAGATGATGATAATCCTTTTATTGTTTCAAATGACGTTGATATTCTCACAATTTTCTGAAATATAGTCAGTCGCTTATATGAATTGCACAAGAGTGAAGATGGTGAGAAGAGTTAGGCCAAATCCTTCAGAGCCTATTCGTTAGTGCAAGAATTATTGACTTCTTATTTACAGGATTTGAATTCTTTTATGAATTTTACGTGACACAGTGACGTCTGGGCACTGGCGGCCAATTTCTCTTTCCACTCATCAACATCTGTAGGCCGTAGCATAATCAGAACAATAAATATAGAAAATCCTTTATAAAATTTAAACAATAGCCAATACCATCATCATGCATATGAAATTATGAACAGTAACTACATCAGCGGTGGCTTATGGCACAGCATGAAAGTGGCAGCAAAATGCTTTAAAAATAAAATTGACAGCAAGGATTAGGGGGGACAGATACAAGACCACACCATTAGTCTATAAATAACCTTTCCAGAGGCATGTTCAAAAGCTCTAAACATTCCATTCCAGATAATGCTTTCCCACTAACACTGCTAAATGAATATGCATAACCAAATAAGGACCAGGGGACTTCATATTGAGATTGAACAAGTTGACTCTCCTTCCTGTCTCACACATCAATTAGCATCTTGCAACAATATTTCGATATCATAAAAAGTTAGTTTTAGATCTCGATCTGAATAACTATGAGTGAAGATTAATTCTTCACTTCAACCTTTATTATTATTATTATTTTTCAAAAATAATAATAATAATAATAATAATAATAATACTATGAGTTAAACTTTTGTTTAGCGTAATTTAATTTTTTTTATTAAGATACCAAACTAATTATTTCATTTATTGAGCTCTATATATTTAATTTTTTATGTTCTCAAATATAACTCTTCCGAATTTCTCCTACAATATCTATGGATCTTACTCGTGTACGTGCTCTCTCAATAGACTTGTCATGGGGTCTGTTTTGCAAATAGAAATTCTTAAGTGTACATTGTCAGATCATAAACACTCTACTTAACTATTATTCATATATTAGAAATAAGTACATTTCTAAGATAATCAACATAACCTGGCATATATTTAATATTTAGTCCAAGGACTATGTAAGAATTTTCTCTTGCAAGACTCCAGGGGACCAGATAGGAATATTAATGGACTCTCTGAGTAAACATTTGTCATCTGAAGTGCTCTATTACACGATCACCTAACCCCAACATCTATCATTTAATAAAATACCAGAAAAAAGAGAAGAAAAAACCAAAAAGAACCCCACATATTAATTGGAATTTCGTCTTGTTTGTCATTATCACGGTTGGAAGATGCTGATCTGGTTGAAGATCCAGAAAACAAAAACCACTACGATCTCTGTGCCCATGTGCTTACCAAATCTTTGACTCAAAAAAATATAAAAATAGACTAAACAGAATTGCTCAAAAAGGATAGGAATCTTTCCATTATCCTTGTCCTCCTCTTAACACAGCATTTTCTACAAACATCATTCTTAATTTTACAAGAAGAAGGATATATACCTTCATACTGTTTCGTACAGTCAAACCTCCACCGGTTCTAAGAAAGGGAAATTCTTCATAAACGCATTCACTATTATACATATAGAACTGCTTTAACAGGAAACAGTTCTAAGATGGAAAAAGGGCAAAATTTATATACCCAACCCAAACCAAACCTGGAGAACACTATCAGAGAGGCTGCTGCATTGTCACAACCAAGGGACTTGTGACAGTGTGTTTGCCATCAGACCAAACTATGGAACCACTCTTCACACTAGAACTTCCAGGGGAAAGCTTAACTGCCCTAGCTTGCACCCTAACAAGGAAATTCAATTTCTGACCCAACCTCCTGAAAGATAGGGTCTCTGGCTCCAGCGTGACCACCATCCCTGCAGGTGGTCTAATAGTGACTTTGTAGACTGAGTTTGGATCTCCAACATTAGTCACAGTTCTAATGAAGTGTGTAGACATCTTATGCTTTCCATATTGTTGAAACACTGCAGATAAGGATGGATAATTCAAATTGCCAGCATGACCTGCCTTCTTAGCCCCACTGCAATCTGCAACCTTTCTCGTGATCACTTTAATATTCTTAGCGGTATAATTAGAATTGCACAAGAAATCCACATAATCATAAGTAGAGATGTCATAAATCAAGCCAGGGTTCATGGCCTTCTCCGGATGAACATGGCCAGCACCATAATCAAATACTGAGGAAACATTACCAGTGGACTCATCCAACATGGAACCTCCCCTATTATCAACAGTATACGCAGTAGTCATGAGGGCAGACCTAATAGCAGCAGGACTCCAATCAGGGTGTGCTGCTTTCAACAAAGCAGCCAAACCAGAAACATGTGGGCAAGCCATGGAAGTACCTGATAGTATGTTAAACTCTGTCCTGCGCTCATCAGAATGAATCCCAGAAGGTGCAATACTATCGGGCCAAGCTGCAAGAATGTTCAGTCCAGGGGCAATAACATCAGGCTTCAATATCTCAGGGGACTCAGGGTTAGGCCCTCTAGCAGAAAAAGATGCCACAACCGGGGCTGGCCTAATCCCAAGCCTGGTACCCTTGAATATTATTGTTGCAGTAGGTGGTGACCGTGACTGTGAAGCTGTTGAGATGTATTTCCGAATCTCATCGCCGCCGACGGCACCGACAGAGGTGGCGGGAAGTACATGGCAATCAGCCACTAAGCCTTCACCATCAAAGACTCCATTGGCCAAAATCATGCCAACTCCTCCTGCCTTTTTCACCACTTCACCTTTAGCAGCTCTTGAATTTATCCCTCTGTCACACACAACAATCTTCCCCTTCACAAACTTGGGATCCAACGAATCTTCCAAGCAAAGGGACGAAGAGTAACCATCACCCCCACCTTCACTACCCGCATACACAATCGGGTAGAGCCGACCCGGTGTCAGACCCGGTCCACCATAAACACTAACCCCACCTATGGTCTTACCGTTCCCAAGCTTTACATCAGCTGGGAAATCTCTGTCTATGGTTCCCGCCCCAACAGTGGTCACCCAAGGTGCTACATTGGTAACGGTGAGGCCACCGGGACCGCCGTTTCCGGCGGAGGCAGAGACAAAAACACCAGCCTCGGAGGCTCCGAAAGCCCCCATGGCGATAACGTCCAGGTAGTACGGGACCACCACACCCCCCACACTGAGGGAAGCGACGTCCACACCGTCAGACACGGCGGCGTCGAATGCGGCGAGGATGTCGGAGTCGTAGCAGCCGCCGTTCCAGCAAACTTTGTAGACGGCGAGGCGAGCCTTGGGAGCCATCCCAGCCGCCATTCCTTTGGCGTAACCGAGTGTGGACGCCGGGAACACGTACCTTCCGGCGGCGATAGAAGCCGTGTGAGTTCCGTGACCGTCCGAGTCTCTCGGAGAACGGTACTCCAACGTCTCGTTCATTTTTCCGTTGGTGGCTTCGTACCCGCCGCAGAAATAGCGAGCTCCGATGAGCTTCCGGTTACAGGAGCTGGCAGGGAAGTTTTTTCCGGCGACACACTGGCCCTTCCACTTGGGGGGAACAGGACCCAGATCACGATCGTTGAAGCTCTGCCTCTCGGGACATATACCGGTGTCGATGACTCCGATTACTAGATCCGACCCGAAATCAGACTCTTTGAGCAAGCCGGCTCTGTCAGCGATCTTGAGGCCCAAGAACTGTGGGGAACGCGTGGTGTGGAGGTGGCGAACCTGCTCCGGAATGAGGGTTATGACGTGGGAGAGTGATTGGAGCTTCTGAGCCTCTAAAGTTGAGAGCTTTGCAGAGAAACCGTGAAATACAGTTTGGTAAGTGTGGATAATGGAGGCGGAGGGAGTGATGGAAGCTAAGGAAGAGAGGTACCAATGGTTGTGTGTTGGGAAAATGGAAGGCTTGGCTTCATGCTGGACTTGTACTATGAATGTTTTCTTTTCTTTATCTGATGCAGTTACTGCTGATGCTGCTGTGGCTGTGGCTGTGAGTAACAACAATACAAGAATGAGGGAGGGAGAAGCCATTGATACTGATACTGTCATACTGATACTGTGATACTGATACTGAAACAAGTGTAAGTGCCTAGTGATGATGATATGGTGTGTGGTGTGGACTGGAGAATATAATAAAACATAAATTTAATTTAATTTAAAGGATCTTGATAAGAGAGAGAGAGAGCAGTGCAAATATTAGAATAATAGTGGGGTGAGGTGGAATTGTGCTGTGTAGTACTAATGTTATTTCCATTTTAGAATTTTTGTAGGTATCTTCATAAACTGTATATTGTCACTGTGACAGTACTCGCATTTCAGCATGCACACAAATTTGCCTCTGCACGTGTTCCCTCGTAATGTCAACACAATTGAACACCACAAACAAAACAATTATCTAAATATAATTCCCTCAATTTTAAACTATTTTCAAAAATGCATGTCATGTATTTTACACAAATCGCATATAGGAAAATTCGTTATTTAAACACGTACATTTTCCATATGACTTTCACTTATATTAAATGAGTAAATAGTTTTAAAAAATTAGAATGTTGATAGTTGATCAGACTAATATTATATGGGCTGACGAATGGATATTGAGCTTAATTACACACACAGTTGATGAGAGAAGGCTTGGAGTTGGATTATCTACTCTTTGGAGGTTCTTGGGTTGTTGATGGTTGACGATGGTTGGGTATCTATAATGACACTCCGACGCTCAATTCAGTATCAAAGCCAGACTTATGTTGTATTCTTACTGAATTAGATGATCATACCTGAGTATGTACCATTTGTTTATATAGTGAATCTGATGTCGCCTTTGGTAGGCGATATGTCTTCTGATTGGCTGTTTATAGGCTACAGGTTCAGCTGGTACCTTTATGGCCTTATCTCTTTTATGTCAAGCTATTTTGGTAGAGTTGTGACCAGCTGGAGCTATCCATTGTGTATTGGTTCTATGGCGCGGTGGCTCCTTATTAGTGCTTTATTAATCTATTCTTTAATTTTGAAGTCATGTTTAAAGACGATTTTAGACACGATGAAGTCATCGCGTCTCCTAATGCTTTACGCGCGATGGTGATATCGCGTTTTGTTCCGGCCCTTATGTATGGGCTTAATCTTTTGGGTTTTAGCCCTTGGACCTTGGTATTTTATCCAGATCAACAGTAAATAAATATTTTTTTAATATAAATGATTTCTTGTGGAGCATATTCTTTCTTTTTTGTGAGAATTATATTATTTTTAAATTCAAACAATGAAATTACATTTATCATATTCTCAATTTTTTTTTTTGGTATATGTAAGCATTATTCTTATATATTTTAAGGAAGTATCTTTAATGCGGTTTACGATAAAATAAGATTTTTTTTTTAATTTTTTTATCATTTATCTATTATTATCCAAGTAGATCTAAACATTATTTAAAATTATATACACAGTCTTTTGTTTTGTTTTTTGTTTTTGGTAGGCTATACTCAGTCTATTTTATTCACGTGAACATTAAACCTTGAAACTCCCTTTCCCTCATGAACAGAAAAACCAGATTTATATAATTGTGTAAGACTGAAACTTGAAATCGTTGCGGGGTGGTTTGGTTGGGGAGTTTTATTTTTTTGTTAGGAAAAGTTTATATGGGATTTAAAGAAGATCATATTTGGTAGGAGTTTGTAAAATATTTGCATAGAGTTCTTATCTGCATAGGAATTTGATATTATATGTAAAATTGAGTTAAGATTACCACTTTAGGTATTTTAATTTAGCTGGAAAACAAAAAATTGGGGAACAGAAATTTGGACACAAATATTCCTGAAATAATGTGCTAAAATTTGATAGGCAAGAATTATTTTGATAATTTCAATCCGTTTTACCTTCTATCAAATATAGACTTAAAAAACTTAAACCAATTTTTTAGGTGATATTTTGACCTACAACTTACTTTTTCACCATATATTTTTAATAATTGTGATTTCCTGATAAAAAAGATTTTTTCCTCTATCAAACATGTCTAAAGAAAGAATCAGATTATATATTATGATCAAAGGATATTTTTGGCGTATTCCTATTATAAATTACACTTTAGAAGGAAGAGAAAAATACGGACAAACTAATTGTTAAAAAAATTTAAGAATAAATAAGTTTAAAAAGAGAATTTTGAACTTTACCATGTAATTTTAAAAAGTATCAATTATTTATAATAAAATATTAAAAGTTTGTAATGATTTTGATGAATATTATAAAGAGTAAATACCATTTTTGGTTCTCAGAAAATTTTACGAGTCCCGTTTTAGTCCCTAGCAAAATAAAAAGGCTCATCGTGGTCCCTCAAAAATTCAAAAAGACCCGTTTAGTTGAAATCGTGGTCCCTCACTAATTCAAAAAAGAGCCATATTAGTCCTCAAAAGGACTAAAATGGGTCCAATTTAAATTTTTTAGGGACCACGATAGACCTTTTTATTTTCTAAGGACTAAATCGGGCCTCGTAAAATTTTCTGAGGATCAAAATGAATATTTACTCTATTATAAATAAACATTTTCTTTTATAAATGTGTGACGTAGAAAACTCCCATGTGAACTCTAGTTTTTGTTTGTTTTTGTCTACCTTTCCTTAGGTATCTATTCCACCGAACCACTGTTTTCATTATTCCTCGAAGAATATCCGTGATGAGTATCACCGTACAATTAGAAAAATGAAAGCAATAATATCGCAGCATTGTCAAGTAATTAGTTGTGAAATCAAACTTAGCATATCTCGTACTAGAAGGAAATGAATGTAAAATATTTTTCAGACTCATTTCACTTTTGTTCGGTCCTAGAGAATCGTATTGTTATACCATATGGTATGTGTTCAGAGATATTATATGAATAGTATTTTCATTGGCTTATAATCAATATCTCCATCACTGCGCACAAGCAATAGGCTTATAGCCGAGACGTGGGTGTGTGCACAGTGTGGGCAGAAGTAGTAAATGAGTTCATAGTGTGTACCTATGGTTTTTAACCTCTTATTTATAAGGGTTACTTGTAGGGTTTGTGTAGATCTCCCAGTTATAGTAGGATTCAACTTCCTTTCTGTTGGGATAGAGATTCTATACTTAGCAGCCTTACTGTCTTATATTCTTAGGATAATTGGGTAGTTATCCTTTAAGAGATCCTTGGGTAGGTGGTTAGGATATGAAAATATTTCATAACAGTTGTCCCTCAACCCGGCAGTTCGGAAGCTCAGACTGCTGGGGTTCCTAAGTCTGATTGATAGGTCGACCTTACCGAGGTACTATGATCCTGCCTTGGGTCTGGTGCGACTACCTCTTCTTGGTTTAGCTTTTTATATTGGCTTCTTTTCTCTTGAAGTCTCTGAGTAGTGAGACAGTGTTTGCCTTTTTTTGACTTTGAGCTCGACTTCTCTTGTCGAGACTCTTTAGTTTTGACTAGGCTTATCGTCAGTCTTTTATATAGGTGTTCGCCTAAGTTTTAGGACGGCATTTTGTGCCTCCTTAATAATTAACCCGACTTTGCACTTTCTGGCTTTGAGTGTCGTAGTTCCAGATTTGGCTCGGTTTCGCATATCGAGATCTCTGTTATCATGGATTTGACATTTTGCAAAGGTGTATTGTACTTTAGGGAGCACAGATTTTTTTATTACGACTTCCCCCTTTTGGATTTGACTTGTTGGCTTCCTCTTTTTGGATTTGACTTGTTGCCTATATCTTAATTTTGGGAAGGTGTTTCGTGCCTTCTTGAACGATTAGTCCGGCTTCGAATACCATGACTTCTCTTATTTTGAAGGACTTGACTTCTTTTGCCATAGTCTTGGATTCTTGAAGGAGGAGTTTGCCTCCTCAATTTTAAGCCGGAATACGTATACCGTGGCTTTTGTTTTGATTGACTTGGCTTTTGCCTTGTCTACATTTTTGAAGGTGATATCTTTGCCTTTCTAATTTTAGCCCGGTCTTAACGTACTGTGGCTTTACTGTTGGACTAGACTTCTTTTTTCATATTTCGTTTGAGCCCGGTTTCGCATACAGTGGATTTCTGCTTTAAACAACGCTTCATTAGCGATGGATTTTTAATTTGAGGTTGGCCTGTTGGGCCGCAAACTTTGTCATTTGACTTTGTTGCCAAAATCTTGAATAGGAGTGCGACATCATATGCCGCCTCCTTTTTTCTTTTATCTCAAAATTGGGGTGTGATCCTTTTTTAGGATCACGATCTCTCCAATTCCATCTTTTTCTTTTCTTTTCTTTTTTCAGACGGGGTGTGATCCTTTTGCTAGGATTACATCTCTCCAATTTCGTCTTCATTTTAATCGCGGATTGGGGTGTGATCTTTTTGCTATAATCACATCTCTCCAATTCCGTCTTCATTTTTATCGCAAATTGGGGTGTGATCCTTTTGCTATGATCACATCTCTCTAATTCCGTCTTCACTGGGTTGATTTGAAGCTTAAGGCTGAGGCCGAGCTTTTAAACTTGAAGCCCTTAATTGGGCTGAGCTCAAGGCCGAGCTAATAAATTTGAAGCCCTTAACTGGGCTGAGTTAAAGCTCAAGGCTGAGGCCGAGCTTTAATATTGAAGCCCTTCAATGGGCTGAGTTGGAGCTCAAGGCCGAGGCCGATCTTTTAAACTTGAAGCTCTTCGTTGGGCTAAGGCCGAGGCCGAACTAATAAATTTGAAGCCTTTAACTGGGATGAGTTGAAGCTCAAGGCTGAGGCCGAGCTATTAAATTTGAAGCCCTTCTCTGGGCTAAATTGGAGCTCAAGGTTGAGGCCGAGCTATTAAACTTGAAGCCCTTCACTGGGCTGAGCTCAAGGCTGAGGCCGAGCTATTAAATTTGAAGCCCTTAGTTGGGCTAAGATGAAGCTCAAGGCTGATGCCGAGCTTTTAAATTCGTTGGACTGAGCTCAAGGCTGAGGCCGAGCTATTAAATTTAAGGCTCAAGGCTGATGCATGTAACAAATTTGAAGCTCAAGGCTCAAGGTTAAGAATATGTTATGAGATTTATTAAGAGAATGAAGCCTACTTTTTAAACCTAGCCACATTTTGTTTCATGCATGTGAAAGATAATAAAATAATGAGTAAATGATTACAAAAAAAAAATGAGTAAATACCATTTTCGGTTCTTAGCAAATTTCACGATGTCCGCTTTAGTCCCTAACAAATAAAAAGGTTATTCGTGGTCCCTAAGAAATTCAAAGTGGACCCATTTTAGTCCTTTTGAGGGACTAATGTGGATTTTTTTTTTAAATTTGTGAGGGACCACGATTTCAACTAAATTGGTCCATTTTGAATTTCTTAGAGACCACAAATAGCCTTTTTATTTGCTAGGGACTAAAGCGGGCATCGTGAAATTTGCTGAGGACCAAAAATAGTATTTACTCTAAAATAATTGTTTATCTCTCTTTTGAATGTGTATTCATTCTAGTAAACTATACACGACACAATTTGTAAAATTGCTCCTAAGGAAGAATTCATTGATTTTTTTTAAAGTAATTTATTCTATTTGTGTAAGTTTGATGAGGTGTTGGGGCCTTCATGAGGATGTGATGTTGATGTTGTTTACCTATATAAGAAGGCTGTGCCTGTAGCCTGTAGGGCATATGGGGAATTCTTATATTTGTTTGGTAGGTTATAGATGTTTGTAATGTCTATATGGTTCTATGACCATTTTAACTGAGTTGCACATTACATGATATATACTGCATTATATTATTTATAAAAATCGACTATTTTGTTATGATTACACTATTTTTATAATTATCATGCTGAAAAGTGAACTTGGGGGACTTATCATTCGAGAACTTTTAGTTTATTGAGATTCTCATTTCATGCCGTTTAGGGAAATATTTTTTAGGTGTTGATATTCATAAGATGAATGCGTCTCGAGGCAAGAGGCCGCATAAATATTTTAGCATGATATGCATTGATTTTATTTGATATGCCTATATCTACTTGAGACATGATTATTATTTATCAGACACATGCATGACTACTATAATAAAATCAAAATTGTAACTGCATGTTCCATTCTTGATTTTCAACCCATCTTTTAATTGGTTGAATCTTTTTCTTGCATTTAATTATTTCTTGGCATTTGTTCTTTTATAATTACTATCTCAATCAATTTCATAAAAACTTTTTCAATTAAACTAACTTTGGTAGAGTAATAAAAATAATACTAGGTAGATCAATCTTCGTATGAACAATATTTTACTCATCATTTTATTAGTTATACGATGTTTACATTTGCTGTGATCGCAACACCTATTCTATAAAGTTTTTCCGAGGATTGGATAGTTGTGAAATATTAATTAATAAAACTTTCTACACATGTTCGTAACGAAAAGTTGATTATTTTTTAATCAAGAAGTTTCTCAGTCTCACACCTTTCATCATGATGCTGAATTGCCTTCATTCAATTATTCTCTCCTAATCCTTAATAATTTGTACCCGTCAGTCCTGTGATACCGAAAGCCATTATGGCAATGTCATTGCAGCGTTTTACCTTCAGCATGATAATTCAATTTTTATGTTGTGGTGTGACTTTTTGATTTGCATGTATTTTTTTTTAATAAATATGAGACTTACCATTAATCAAGTTCCAACATAAGAATTAAATTATAATGTAACTTGAGAAAATCACATCCCACAAAAAAAGCGTCATTGCAACAAAACGAGGATTTTGCTCCTTAAAGGCATTAGACAATTTTTTATGGGTTTTGATATATATCTCGTGTTATAAACACATTTCAATATTCTTATCTATTTAAAATTAAAAATGTTATACAAAATTAAAAGATCATTGATAGAAGAAAATAATTCTTTTACTAGATGAGAATTATTTTTTTCCTTTTTTTACATGCTTTGGGAAAAATCATACACCCTCATCCTTCCAAAAATTAGAATAGCATGAATTAGACATACGCATACAATATATTTAGTAATTTGATGATTCTTATTTTCATAAGCAGTATTTAATTATTAATTAAGAACTTAACTATTAATTAAATAACCGCTAGGAGTTGATGTTACATATTAAAGCGGTAATTTTTTCCCCCAATTTTATTACCCTAATTACCTCTTTGGTCTGGCCTGAAAAGAATGTGGGATTACTCCTATGATTCTTAACCTTTTTAATTTGCAATACGTGGCAAACATACATGACTAGTGTTGCATGGCTAAGATACAAGATTCACAGATTAATATTATTTTAAAAAATGACATTATTTGAGAATTTCTTTTTTTAAATTTCATCAAAAGAATTATTGAACCGAGGTTTTGATCAAGAAAAATATAGTTTTTAATTTTGAAATCAATCACATTTGAAGTTAGGTTGCCCCCTCTTAACAGTGCATTTTTACAGGTTTAATATCACCCCTTAATCACTTCCAAGTTTTGCTTATGCCACATTATGTTAGTCAACACAAATATTGTTTAAGATTTGATTTTGTAACTCATATAGTTTTCGCAACACAAATAAGTGCCGCTCCTTTCTTTTTTAATGCTTGTTGCAGCCCCCGATGTTGGGATATTCAAGTGTGATGAGTCTCATATTGGTTAGTAATGGACTAAGTGAAGAGTATATAAGTGGAAGGGACCCATGAACCCAATGCCTTAAGGTTTTGGATTGATACATGGTGTCGGACCCACTTGATGTATTTGATCCACTTAGCTCATTGGTGGTGGCCTCCCGCCACGGGCTTCCTCTTGGACCCGCCTGACACTGGTATCAGAGCCGGGTTGGGCTTGAGCTAGCCTGATGATTGGCTAAGAGGCGAATCGAGTATTTTTCGCTTAGGGTACTTGGCTAAGGTGGAGCATACCATTGGTGGGTTTCACACTTGAGAGGAAGATTGTTGGGATATTCAAGTGTGATGAGTCCCACATTGGTTGGTAATGAGCTAAGTAAAGAGTATATAAGTGGAAGGGACCCATAAACCCAATGCCTTAAGGTTTTGGGTTGAGACATGGTGTCAGACCCACTTGGTGTATTTGATCCACTTAGCTCATTGGTGGTGGTCTCCCGCCATGGGCTTCCCCCTGAACCCACCTGACAGTGGTATCAGAGCCTGGTTTGGGCTCGAGCTAGCCTGGTTTGGCTAGGAGTCGGGTTGAGTACTTTGTGCTTGGGGTACTCGATTAAGGAGATCATATCAATGTTGGGTTTCACACTTGAGGGGGAGATTGTTGGAATATTCAAGTTTGATGAGTTTCACATTGGTTGATAATGGGCTAAGTGAAGAGTATATAAGTGAAAGGACCCATGAACCCAATGCCTTAAGGTTTTGGGTTGAGACATGGTGTCGGATCCACTTGCTACGGTTGGTGTAGCCTTAGCTCATTGGTGGTGGCCCCCCGCCACGAGCTTTCCCTTGGACCCGCCTGACACCCGAGTCGATCCAAAAAACCGATGAATTGATCATATAATTGTTCTGATATATTGGATTGATCATGTAATAGAAGCATTGCAATCCCGTTGATTTTTGTAAAAATTTGTTTGTTCTCATCAATTGATATTTTTCTTTTTTTCACTCACACACACTAATGATTTGTTTTTTGTTGAAATATTCGAGTGATTTGTTGCTTATTGAGTTACATAAGTTATGTACCTACAATACTAATTATTATCTTGGTTATGCAATATGCAGCGAATTTTGATTTGATTTATAGTTAGAGATATCGTTTACGGAACCTGAAGCACCGGTCACAAGTATTGTATGTTTGATTGATCTTTTGTTAGATAATGATGTGTAATTTATTATTTTTCATATTTAAATATTTGAAATTGATATCACTTTTTACAGGTATTTGAGTATATTTATAATTTTTTTAAGGGTTTGCTTTTTCTGTAGTTACTGCAGATAAATTATCTGCAGTAAGCCCAACACGATATCGTTTTCGGGCGAAAATTATGATGTCTTTGTAATTTTAGTTTATTTCAAGGTTATTATAGCCTTTATAATTATAATTTTCTAATCTTTCAATCTCAAAACGACGTCGTTTTGGAAATAAATGCAGGTAACTTATCTGCATTAACTGCAGAAATATTTTTCTATTTTTTAATATAAATTATAAATTTACATATACTTATCGAATCATGCGATTAAATCATTGGCCAATTGATTGAATAAGTAACCGGATCAAACATCGAGCTAGGCTTAATAAGATTGCTTGCATCCAATCACTAGCAACACCTAACGTGGTTAGATTAATTTATTGTGTTCAAAATCATTTATATTCAAAAGCTTAATGAAAGATTTTTTTTTTTTTAAAAATAAAAGTATTTTTTAGAGTCGCATTGGATGAGATATTTAAATACGTACTAAATTATTTATTAAGTTTTTTATTTAAATTATATTTTCAAACTGTTAAAAAGGTACTAAATTGTTTTAAAGGATATTTACTTTTTTGAAAAAATTATATAATTATAATAAATAAATTTAAACATTATTAATAAAAAAATATTTTTTCTCATAAAAAAAATGACAAACTTATGTGTCATTAATCAAAGCCAAAGGTGCCATTAACGTTAAATTTATTTAATAGCTAATTTGGCTCAATCATATATATATATATATATATATATAAATGGCTCAATCTATCTCATTATGAGTAGGTAGCAAAAAAATAATTGATGCATTGTAATTATGCAAACAATGGGGACGAACAACTGTTGCGAAGGGTTTGACAAATTGTTTGAATTTTGAAGATTGAATTCTTGGTGATTATGAAAACCAAAACGGAATGCAGTTCTATTCCTCACACTTGCAGGACTAGCGTTATGCTTTGATGAAATTCAATTAAAAACTATCCCTATTTAATTGAAAAGATGCACGTACTTGTTACAAAATTGTTTCACGAGACATACTTGATCTTGAATTGAGGCTAACATTTTCAAAGAAAAACTAAAAATTATACATGGCTGACTATAAGTATAGCTGGATCAGCTCGTCACTAACAACAGAAGGAGTAAGAACACCCAAATCCGTGAAAAGCAGAGTCAGAAATTGAGGAGGAGTGTAGTCCCGCGCAGACCTTTCAACCTCAACTTTGGATGGAATGGGTACACCGAAATCAATAGGGCGTAAGGCAGGGGCCAAATCCTTTTGGTCAAGAGGGTAAAAACGAGCAAACTGTAGAGTGACAGAAACGAGACATGTAACTATAGAACATACATTCCTAAATAACACTTGTAAAAAAGGATGTGTGCAAGCCAAAACGACGCCTGACATGCTAGAATAATTTCTGTAAGTTGCAATTATACCTTGTAGCTTTCAGCAGCGACATAAACAGGTTTATTCATACTGTGTGCAACCAATGCAATTTGATATGTCCCCATCATGTTAATTATGCCCCCACTTTCAACAACACCATCTGCACCCACAAAAACCATGTCCACCTCATCCATAGTGTATGCAACTGCAGAGTCTATTAGAAGTTTAACAGGAACATCGAGCTTGGCCAGCTCATTGGACAACCGCAATCCTGTTCGGTCTGGTCTTCCCTCTGCAAATTTACGGATACAAAGTTTGAATTCCACATCACAATGAAGATGCCAAAGACACAGACTTCACACAAGCGTTCAAAATGGGATTTGATCACGGGAAACTATGGGGACAAAAATTTGAACGCAAACTTCACAGGCAATAGCAACAAGCCAACAACCAAACTTGATCAAACTATATGGGATGTTTCTCTGGATCCATCAACGACATTGACTAACAAAAACCAAACTATCAGTAAAACTATTCAGACCAAGGTCTTTTTAATGGTTTCTTCTAAGGTTTTAAAATTAATAAGGCAATGAATTAAGAATAACAATTCCAACTCTCCTGCCTAAAGCTCGCAAGAGAACATTATAAAGAACATGTTTATTATATTATATTGAGGAAAGAAGGTCAATTACCCTTAAATTGAAGTTAAAAAATGACAAAGGTCCTACATTGTGATTTAGAACTAAATATGAATATGAGCATTTCATTACATTCGTGTGTGTAATCGAAGTAAGAGGTCAAAAACCTGTGCAGAAGACCCGAAATAGTTTTTTATTTTGCGCTGCCAACTTAAGAACTTCGAAGACAACTCTGGAAAAACCATGAACCAAAATTGTACACCCATCAAATATAAAATCTTGACTCAACATTGCTATAATTTTCCGAGCCTGCAAAATAAACAAATTAGGGCACCGGCGTGAGAAAATGAAATAAGATGGCAGTGACAGTGAGCAAGCAACTGATATTAGTTCCATGCCTTGTAGGAGATTTCCCCAAACTTCTCGGCACGTTCAATTAAGCGTGATTTAGCGGAATTGAAGTCTTCATATTCTAAAGCAGAAGTTCTTGTTACATATCGCATAAACAGATCACAGCCAGCTGTCAAAGAGATAGAGGTTGTATCCCACAACTGCAAAGCACATTCAAGTTAACAATCAATCAGGAAATTCAAGAATTCTATATATAAAGCATACCTGTACAAATAAAAATGTTGATCCCAAGCTCTAGTGAAACTAAAATGTGTGCACCAACAATATTATTGATATGATATTATATACTTGACCATGCATATAGAAATCGTAAAGCAATGCAAAATAGTGAAATTTAATTTTGACGAGGATGAAAAGAGTTAGAAAGAAGAAATAGAATTAATTACCTTGAGAGAATCAGAGGCGTTCTTGAGCTCAATTTCAAGCTGCATCATAGTGGTAGCCTGGCTGGACCTTATGACGGCGGCGAGGGCGCGAATGGCGGCGACGGCCTCGGCCAAATCGGGCTGTTTCCGCCAGTTATTAAACTCATCAATGACACTGAAGGGCTTATCAGGATCGGGGAAGTTGACCCTGAGTTGAGGTTCAGGGTCAGGGTTCTGTCCGATTGCAGCCTGAGCCTGGGCCAGCCAGTCGCTGGTGACAACGCCGTGGTGCGCCGCTCTCGTCTGATAGTAAGCCGAAATCATAGGGTTAGGGTTAGGGTTAGGGTTTGAGGATTCGGTTGTAGCCGTAGGCGGAGGAGGAGTGATGGACAGGGAGGAGTCGGGCCTCAAATCGGTGTCGTTCTGCTGCTGCTGCTGCCTGTCCAGGATGAATGATGCTGATCTCCACCACATTTTGTAAGATTATTTTTGGGATGGTGGGCACTTTATAAAGCTTGAGAACGCAGAGTTTTCTTTTCGATGCTAATTTGTCTAACAAGCTAGCAACCATCTTATTCGTATAACCCCCCCCCCCCCCCTAACTTATCTACTATTTGAATGCTCCGAGAGTTTCAAATACCCACTCTATTGCTTTGATCATCAAGAAAAGTCAACTGGACTAAACAAAAATCGAAATTGAAAAAAATAAAAATAAAATGTTCTCAATTGTAATTATTAAAAAATATAGTTAACCATCTCAATAGGAATCTTAAAAAACTTTTTATATGATATGATGTTAATTTTAAAAATGCAATTAAAATAAAACCTTGAAATGATGAAAACGCTATTAAAAATCCATCTGAACGACGTTGAAACAGAAAAAAATGACACTCGCACACGCTTATTTATTTTATCTTTGGGTTAATCCAAAAGATAAATACTTGAATCACATTCACAAAATTTGGCTTTGAAAATTTTATTCTTGCCCACCTTAACCCTCACATTGACAACTTGATTTTGTAAGAATTGTTTTGGAGTCTGCCTGAAGGTGGGAGAAAAGAATGGTAATAAATGCAGAAGAAGAAAGATGTGAGGGAAATGGGAACAAGTGAAAGCAAGTGTGTTTTTGGGGCCACCATCGTTGAAGAAGAAACAATCTTCTTTTTCACCTCACAAAACAGAGGATATCAGATAATCTAGGAAGAAAGAAAACAATATTGCTCAGCGAATATTAACTTCAAACTTTCCCAGTGAACTGCTAATCAAAATTTGAGTAATTTACGGCAAGTTATGTCATTATTGTATTCTAACACACGAAATTAAGTCATTAGAAGTAGGCCAAGGATTTAAATAATTTTGCACTATGCATAGGTTCAAATCTTCAGGTTCGATTATTAATAAAAAAAAAAAAAAAAACTTTTCAAGTTCTGTTTACGAGACATTTTGGAAAAGTTTAATTGTTCGTACGAGAACAAATAAAGAGCAGCGAGGAATGATGACTACGTCTGCAGAGTAATGCAAATATACCACCATTAATCATTCAAATATATTATGAAACTGAGTACAATTGTAGGTTGTAGCGAATGGCCAACTTCTTGGGATATTAACTTCATCTCTGGCTCTGGCTCTCACTTGTATTGTAGTGAATGGCCCTTTCTATAAGACTTGCTCAAATATGCTACAGTTACAATTGAGCATTCAGTTGCTTCCCAATATTCTTACATTTGACAATTAATGAGGGTGTAAGCTACAACAAGACCCATGATGAGAGAGAGATCTGTATTTGGCTCCACTACCATTGTCAAAACATCATCCCCAAAATCAACTCCACAACTTGATTTCTTTCTTCTTAACTGCTTATGAATATGAAAAGTATAAAGATATTAATTAGTATAAGAAAAGTTTATCTAACGTGAGAGGATGTGTAAGAAAGAAAGTTTTACCTCTGCAACTAGTATTCCGAACTGGTCAGATATTTTGCACGCTGACTTGCCAGTGCTGCTTTCTATCTTATGACTGTATGGTTGACTTTTGTCCGCTCCAAGTTTAACTTTGTAAGTTGAAATACGTCTAGCGATCCTGCAAGTTTTATAAACTCGAAAGCTTGGTCCTCTCTCTCTCTTCTGATTCCTTGTCCCTGGGGATCTGTAACCCTCCCAAAACCTGGACAGACTATATTGCTACAACAAGGAAAAACATCACATGCTGAATATTTAGTTTATTTTTTCTTTTTGTGAAAAACTCTTATATATCTTTGTCATAGAGTTATACAAAGTAGTTTACCTTTCTTAGTATGGTATACAAGGTATTGCCTTTTTGATCCATGAGATGAACTTCATCTATACACTTGCAGTTATAGTTATCAACGCGATACACAAGTTGGCCATCTGAGTCAAACACGGTGCAGCCCTTTCCATTTAGTACCAGAGACTTCATCCATAGGGTGAAAGTCTCTTGTTTGGAAGTGAAACTGCAACTGGTAGAGGAATGCAATGCTTGGGGATGAACTTTTCCCATTGTTCAAATTGTATATGCCCTACAACAAATCATTAGGGCTTTTTAAAAACTGAAAATTAGGCCTCCCTGACGTGATAATATTTAACCATATCTTTATTTAGTGGTTGGAGATGAAACAAATAAACAGAATAATTAATCAGATCAAACAAAAATTAGGAACTTGTCCCAGCAAATAGCAAATTGCAAAAATCAAAGATCTATTGTTATTATTTCTTTCTTTTTCATTTTGATTTCTTGACTTATTCTTAATAATTAAAGAAAGACGCCAAAAGTGCAACCATAAGCAGTTTAATACTAATTTTACAGAACTTTAGCACTTTATGACACTTAGCCCCATATTATATCGGGTTTTAAAATGTAACAAAGAGGAGAATTAAGTCAGGTCTCCCCACTTGATGGCCGATTATGAAGTGTGGATCGTCATATATACCATTCAACAGTTTCCTTGTATTACTAGCTGCGGAATGCGAAAGCTTCATTGTTCCATCCAATTTAATATTTTTTAGGAGGTTATATCCGGTTTCTCCATAGCCTCCACATGATCAGATTCTACATTCATGCATTTATTAACTGCAAACTGCATCATGGCCGGCCAAAATGACACAACAGGTCTTGTGATATGCTTATTAATTGGGTTTTGGAGATAAGGCAGTGTTTGTAGACGCAATTGGATTTGGGAAAGCGTGTTTCATACCATTGTGGATTGGCATATAACGTATCATCATTGTTTTTTTAATTACTTTTTGTTGCGCAGATCTATGCAATATCTCTTAGTGTTTGATTTTTCTTCGCAAACTGCTGTTCTCTATCCTCTGCATGAACAATCTCCTTGTGTCTGGTTAGTGGTAAATCTTTCAGACTATCTCTCAAGGGAATATGACTGATGTGTGAGTACTCTCTCACTATATGTGGGCACTCTCTCATTATCATGGAGATAACCTTATATCAATCTCTGTAACCACCCAAGTGAAGACCTAGAGAGACTGATGATATATGAGTTCCAATTAACGCTAACCCTAAACTGAATGAGCTTTAAGTTTCTTGGGCTCTTTTTACGTACTAGGCTCGACTAGCCTTTAGTGAAAAAGCAAAATCCAATAGTGTTATCTTATGTCACCCGTTTTTGAATTTGGACACTTTTGCTTTCTGTAACATCCCAAACGCTGACGAGGGCGGGGAGTGATCGCCGGTGCAAAGAGGCACGGACAAGGAGCGGCTCCTGACAGGCTTCCAGCGGGGGGTTACATGCATGAATGAATTGAATCGACACCCGAAAGAGAGGGATTCCAAAGAATGTGCAGGTATGAGACTGCACAGTTTATGATAGCTTATAAGAATTAATTGGTACTACCTATACTAACAAGATGCATCTTCTTTTCGGTAGCCCGGAACGGAAGAACTCCATAGTTAAGCGTGCTTGACTTGGAGCAATTCTGGGATGGGTGACCTCCTGGGAAGTTTTCTTAGGAAGTGTGCGAGTGAGGAAAAAGCACACTGAAAAGTCTCATATTAGTATGTGGGGATAGTCATTGATTTTTGAAGCGGCAATGCGTTACAAGTGGTATCAGAGCAGGGCCTCTCTTCCAGACGGTGTGGTTCGAGGACGAACCAGGCGGAAGCTGGTGGGCATGTAACATCCCAAGCGCTGACGAGGGCGGGGAGTGATCGCCGGTGCAAAGAGGCACGGACAAGGAGCGGCTCCTGACAGGCTTCCAGCGGGGGGTTACATGCATGAATGAATTGAATCGACACCCGAAAGAGAGGGATTCTAAAGACTGTGCAGGTATGAGACTGCACAGTTTAGGATAGCTTATAAGAATTAATTGGTACTACCTATACTAACAAGATGTATTTTCTTTTCGGTAGCCTGGAACGGAAGAACACAGAAGAACTCCACAGTTAAGCGTGCTTGACTTGGAGCAATTCTGGGATGGGTGACCTCCTGGGAAGTTTTTTTGAAAAGTGTGCGAGTGAGGAAAAAGCACACTGAAAAATCTCGTGTTAGTATGTGGGGATAGTCATTGATTCTTGAAGCGGCCAGGCATTACACTTTCCTTCCCCTTTTTAAAATGCCAAGCAAAGTTATGTATCAATTGTCTTTGATAATTGATAGATTCAGTGTCCAATTACTCCTAAGTCCTAACTCCAAAATAATCAATATTTTTCTGTCTTTTTGTATACAGTTTTGCAAAATTAGACAATTTGTAGCATGATACAAATGATTTATTTTAACAATGTCCTAAAAGGTAACATTTTGTAATGGCATAGCTTTCGCTGTGCATACGAGATTAAATGATAATTGTAAACATTCAAAGAGATTTGATTTCAATAATAAAGTTAAGTAACCTCCCTTTTTTGGATGGTTCTTTTCCCACTTTTTTTACATGGTGGTTCTTTTGGTTTGTTGTAATTTTGTTAAGGAGAAATTATCAATTATTTTGTAGAAAATACCACAAAAAAGGCTGTCAGAAGCTGAAGGAGGTTTGTCTAGGGTAATAATATTTGATGACCCCTGGATGAAATCTTTATACAAAAGCTTAAACTTCTCACGCTTGCTCTTGAATGTTTCAAAATTGAAGTAATTGCCATAGTCTGCTTGGCTTTAGATGCTGTTAGTCTATTATATTTAAGGGATTAAAAAAGAAAGTTCCTTGTGTCTTGGTCTGTAGAAATTCACAACATGATGATTTAAGTTTGTGATGGTAGCCTTAAAAAAGCCATACATGATGTGTAACCAATATTACTTTACAAAACCATTTCAAGAATTATTTAATAAATCCAACAATGAAGGTCCACCTTGTAAATTGTTAGGTGTAATATTTGCATTGTTTAACACCTATTTTTGGCTGCCTAGTGGACTGTAATTGAGCTAATATGCAGTTGGAAAGGTCCAAAAAGTGTGTAAAATACCATTAAGGTGTTTAGAGAAACTTGTGATTTTTCTCACATTTTTTCTGATTTGTCAACATAGGAAGGCATAAGTGTGCACAATGGGCTGATGTGCCAAATTGAGGACCGTCAAATGCATTTATGATCGGATGGACATCAGAGTTTTTAGTATACTAAGATCTTTTAGTTTAGAGTTAGTGAGTTAGAGTTTTTAGTTTTAGCTTTCACCAATTTTATCAGTTTTACAGTACATTAGTTTCGTAGTTCTTGAAAACGCAAGCACAAGAAAGAAGACACTCTTGAAGGGATTCAAGAAGATTGGATTATCTTGTGTATTTTGAGATTTAAACACTCTTTAGCTAAGTTTTTTTTTTACTGAACATTTTGTTTTGAGGATTTCTGTTTACTTTTCTTTTTGAAATGTTCAATGCATGTTAATTTCAAGTTCAGATTTTCTTTTTGATTTACTGTAGCTATGGCTTTCTAAGTTCCTAGCTGGGGATCTAAAAGATTGGAGAATACCCTTTATTTTAGAATAGTGCTATCCATGATTCTTGTAGTTTGATTAACAAGACTATTAGCTTCAAGAACTTGTATTCCAGTTGCAATATCGTCTTTTTCCCGGCCCTTCCTTGATTGATGTCTTTTTCTTCCTTTGCTGATGTCCATTTTAACATCATCTTTTTACGGCTTTTTGACCTTAGTAGTGTCATTTTCATAAGGTTTTACCAGAATAATTTCTTGGTCAAACATATTATCTATATAATGCATAACGACGCGGTACTGTGAGAATCACTTTAGGACGTGACACTTTAGCAACCGCGTCCTTTGCATTTGTTCCTGACCACTGGAACGTGATACCCTGGCAATCACGTCCTATTCCCAAGACCTGGAACGTGATACCCTGGCAATCACGTCATATTCCCAAGACGCGGTACCCTCTCAGCCACATGTCAGTGGGTCCCATCCCAAAAAGAATTCAACGGGAAGCGGTAGTATATAAGCCGCGTTCCAGGTTACAAGTCAAGTCGGAGTCAAGCAGATATATATATTTCACTTAAAATTTAGACATATTGATATATTCACGGTAAAAGAGTTCAAAAAATCCAATAAAAGCAACAAGTCATTTTCGTACAAAATGATTTTTATAGTTGCTAGCAATTTATTCTTTACTGGTTAGATGACTAACTCTTAAACCAGAGAATAATTAATTTAGAAATTTACTAACAATAAAATTATAATTATTATTATAATTTTAAGGTGTTGGATGAAGGTCTTTATAATAGTTTATATTATTCACTTACACACTCACTCGTACAAAAGCCCTTTGGGCTTGAAGTATGAATTTTGCATAGATTCTATTTTTTGTTTTGTTTACCTTAATATAAATCATTAAAAAATTTGGATTGAATTGTTTCTTTCACATATTGGAAATCGGGAAAGCAGACCAAACACGAAACAGGGGTATAAGATTGGGTACTATTGGATTTATTAGATTTTTGTACTCTCTTACAATGAATATATCAATATGCCTAAATTTTAGGTGAAACATATATATCTGTTTGGCTTTGACTTGACTTGTAACCTGGAACGCGGCTTATACACTACCGCTTCTTGTTGAATTCTTTTTGGGATGGGACCCACTGACATGTGGCTGAGAGCGTACCGCGTCTTGGGAATAGGACGTGATTGTCAGGATATCATGTTCCAGTGGTCTTGGGAATAGGACGTGATTGCCAGGGTATCACGTTCCAGTGGTCAAGAACAAATGCAAAGGACGCGGTTGCTAAAGTGTCACGTCCTAAAGTGATTCCCACAGTACCGCGTCGTTATGCATTATATAGGTAATATGTTTGACCAAGAAATTATTCCGGTGAAACTTTATGAAAATGACACTACTAAGGTCAAAAAGCCTCTTTTTACCAACTCTTGAAACTGATGGTCATTCCAATTGATTTGCTGTCGATTTCTCCGACTTATATTCAGTGAAGCTTCGTTTTAGTTTTCTTTGTTCTCAAGATGAAGTGACCTTGGACATTTTTTTTCATGATTCTATAATTGGGAAATTAGATTTTGTGATGTTTTGTTAATTGAAACCTTCAAAGGTTAGGGATAACCTGAAGTGAAAATTCATCATTAGACAGGAAAAATCTAATTTAATACCTTAGGAAAGGATTTAATTGGGTTTAGACAACTGGAATTGGAAAATTGCAGTAAGGTGCTATAGACGCTAAATTTCTGTGAGAAAAGTGCAATAATATGTAAAACGCAAGGATGCAATTTGTTAAAGGAAAATCCATGAATTTAGAGTCTCGGGATTTTATTACTTAATAATTGTTGAATGGATATAACAGTTACTTTACTGAATTAAAAGTTGATTTTGATTTCTTGCAATTCAAGAAAGATTAGAATGGGATTGATAAAGAAACAAAAACAACTATTCCCAGATAACGATCTTTATCTTGTTTTTAGATACCTATATATACTGCTACTGTGATTGTTAGCGCAAGACTTAGCAATCTAATTTTCTGTGTTGAGAAGAAATTTTAAATCCTAACATAAATGAATCACATTATCCAAACTTAGTCATTCTTTATTTCATTTATGTCCATGCTGCCAGAGTCTCACTTCTGTTTCCCAACTTTGGAACAGTTCAGTGAACAAGGAAACAACTTTTTTTCGACCTTTGGTTAAAGTAAATATTATAACCTTACATGTGTTCAAATATAGAATGATATAGACAGTGCCTGGTCAGATAACTTGGCCTCATTGATTTTGTTTCCTTTTTTCTCAGAATCAGAATTTTTTTTTCTTGCTCATGAAAACCCCATATCATTTCTTTCTATGAATTTGTTTCCCTTTCATACTTTAAAGTGGGTGATTTTCTTTCTCCTCCTTCTTTTTGGGATGTTTATTTTTTAATTCTTATTTTTCCCTAATCAAGGTGTGGGGTCTGTGGAGCAGTGACCACAGCAGCGTAGTGAACTGTAACTACGGAAGATCATTCTTAAAATCTTGGACGTTAGCTTCATGAATTTATTTATAGCTTTTCTCATAAGGCATTTATTTGCCGTCACATATCCTCTCTTCTGCTTTTAGCAATTGTCTTTTTCCTAAAACGACGAGTTTGTAATGATGCAACTGCATGACTTTAGTATCATGATATATGTGCTTTTAGATCACAAATGCATACAGACAATTTTATTGCTTTGTGATTAGGAAGTAGTCATCGTTTTCCTTTCTTTTTCTATCAGATAATATAATAATACTAACAACTGGTTGAAAAGAAAAGGCGATTATGAAAAGCATTGCCAATATGAGCCTGTACAACTTGCCAGAAATATGTGCTTCAGGAACAAACCCACTGCACATGTGCACTATGATTCACCATCCTTTCTGATACATAGTACTAACTGTTGCTGGGTGAGGGTGACAATAACAGATTCAGGTGATTAGTAGAAAGAGTTAAAACCATTGCAGTTTAAGTCCTCTTGCAGACAAACGTCTTCAACTGCATCATTGAGTTCTTCTCCTTTAACAATCTGAAGCCAACTTTGTCGAAGAAGAAGATTCGTGACTTGGGCATCTCTCAACCCAGTACAACCTCTGTGAATCAGATATAAGTATAAAAAGTACAAATTTGGAGTCAAATACCTTTGCTTTTTTGGGTGATGTTAACTTGTTAAATACAAGATTGGGTAGGATCCTTTACCTTGGATTATAGGTTCGCTTTGAAATTCTTTGAAAACAAGGCCCTTCATCATACCCTTCACAAATTATTTCTCCCCGCTCATCTTGGTAGCAGACTATGCCCTGAGATTTATCCTCATAGACCTGTTTATGAAGAGACCATATAGACATCAATTAACCAAAATCAACCACATGGGACTTGTTAAGGGTACGTTTCTTCTGCTTGGATAAGGAGTAAACATCAAAGAAAAACTAGAATCTAAAAATGTACCAGTGGAGCATAGAAAAAGAAAGAAAGAAAGAAAGAAGATATTGACCTTGTTCTTGTTCTTGATTGATGCTGTGATCCTCAGTATTGATGCCTTTCTCAGTGGGACAGAGCTGCGTTTTGAAATGAATTCTTTGTTTGGATAATTGAGAAATGATCCATATTTCTGAATGGGGATTTGGGTGGAAGAAGTACAGTTAACAGCCATCAATCTAATTCTCCAAGAAGAATAACATTGGGGTTGGATGGACTCTGATTATATAATAATGGAATAATGATATCATCACATGATTAATTACTTTCTTATTAATGGGAAGCATTGGTTTCGTCTGCTTAAACTTAAATCATCTAATAAATTCAATTATTGATGGCTCGTGTCTTATCAATATCATGTTGCATTAAAATATGAATAGAGTCATGTAGGGCCAGGTTAGCTTATCCCTTAGGCCTTACCTTTTGTTGCCGGTGATCTCCAAGTCATACTTTTTGGTTAATGCTTCATAGTGCTTCTCTCTAATTAATTAGTTGGTCGGTCTATTCACCATTTCACTATGACTCGGTATTAATCATATTGTTATTTGTTTCATTCATGCTAATGTTTAGTGGGTATGAATTATGATATAAGTGGTATAAAATGTAAGAAATAATATAACTAAACAAGCTTATGAATAAGTCCAACATGATCTTAAGAAAATCCCAAATCAAATTTGTTTAAAGAAAATGCTAAAGAAAAGTTAGAGAGATCCACAAATGCAACGTTTTATCATATTTTCCTTTTCATGTTATCATCATTCGGGATGTGCAATCAACTATAAAAAAGGCTCACCGACCAGAACAATTTGTCAAAGGAACAATATGTGGCTATATTTATTACTACAGTATCAAAAGATGTACACATTCATTTAATTATTATTATTATTATTCTTATTTTTTTTATAGAAAATGCGCAAAATCAGTTTGACTTAAAATTACATGAATTATTTACACGAGCCGTCAAGATGTCACCGATAAGATTACATGAATTCTTTATGTAACTAATGATGGTTTAAATAAAGGGTCAGCTATATATGGCTAAGAGTTTGGTCCATATATTCTAAGAGTGTGGATTCAAACCTCGTTGGTCGATGTGAGAATTTTATTGGTGGGTGATATATGTAATTCCTCCTAGAAATTTTCAACGGGATTGAGGTCTTCTCTGACTCTAGTAGAATACCGGTGTCTAACTCCACTTAAACTTTTTGTTATACAAGAAAATAAAAATAAAGGGTCAGGTCTAAATAAAGATTTTCAAAAGTTTTATGATTTTGCTGAATATAATTTAGGAGTAGCAACCTCAGGTCAAATCAATTGACTTTCTAACTTATAGAAACAAATCAATATTAGAATATTACTTTTGAAAGACGTACCTAAATTATTATAAAATTAAGATGGAAGTTGAGAACACAAAAAATGCAATATGTTTAAATTTTGCGGTGTTTAAAAATATGATCATGATTTTATTTTATTTACTCATGATCTAGGTATAATATAGGCCTAACCAGGGCTCAATAAATACATGAAAGTCCAAGCTCATATAGGACCTAGAATAAAGGCATAAAGGGTGGGCACAGACACGATAACCCTGTCGCGGTACACCAGCGCGATAACCATATCGCGGCACACCAGCACGATGACCCTATCGCGTTCTACACGGGGCAATACCTCCTCATGACATTCAGGATGTACTTGATCCCCACGTAACAGGATACCTTCTACAGACAGTAAACTTAAGGGCCAAGGCAACACCACCGCGCCCTCACACCAGTAAACTACGGACAACTCCAGCTCGCTATGACTCTACTACTAGACACCATGGCGGCAAGCTCCTCAACATTTAAACACTGACAGCCACACTACGTTGGTACCAAAGAACATTGCCTTCACCATGAAGAAAGGCATCCTACAAGCATACATCTTGACTACTATATAAACATACGTTGTACCACCAATGTACGATCATCCTTTACTTTAACAATATAAACACTTGCCTATGATACTGACTTAAACATCGGAGTGTCTTTGCAGGTACCCCCATCTGGAGCAATGTGAAGGACGAAGGACGAAGAACTCAGGCTCATCCCCTAATAGCAATACCAGGCCCAGGCCAGTAACCTCCCAAAAAGTCTCAATCGTGTGTGATTTGGGCTTAATACGCATTGAGTCATCTCAACCGTATTTTGTCCGATCAACTCAATTAAGCATAAATATATGACTTTAGGTGGTGTTTGGTTTATGGTTTTTGGAAACTTTCCTATGCAAATGAAGCAAGCATTTCAGTTTGCCCTTGTTTGGTTCAACATATTTACTCAAAATTCCCATCTATCTAATTTACATTGCTTTTTCAATTTTTCCAATTTGCATAGGAATTGGCACTGTTTAAAAAGACAAAAGGTAGGTGGTTTTATTTGGAAAGCAGGCTAAATCACTGTGCATAAAATTTTTTGCAGACCGTTATATCCTTCTGATAATTAACTATGCTTTCTTTCAACTGCAGGATGAACTGATGTGGGCTGCAACGTGGCTATACTTTCCTACGAGACAATCTATGTATAAGAAGTACATACAAGAAGATGTCATAAGTGCTAGTGTGGCAGAATTCAGTTGGGACCTTAAATAATGGGGTTGATTTAAATGTAAAAAACACATAGATTAAAAAAATAAAAATAAAAAAATAAAAATAAAACGGGGTTATTTTCGTAAAAACAACTTTTATTCCCATCTATATTTTACTTATACCCAAACATAGACTTTATAAAAGTTACCCAATTTTTCCATCAAAATTTTATCCAACCAAACAACTTTTTTTACATTTTCCTATCAAACTCACATTCCAACTATTTCCCTAGTAATCACATTTTCCTATTATTCATAAAATTTTCTCCTCAACCAAACGCCCCCTTAGTGCTTAATAAATAACAAACCTACATAAAAGTTTGCTTTTATATAACAAATTAAAATTTAGTTAAAATTCTTAATCTATTCTTCCTTAAATAATTATAGTTGTCTTGGTTAACTTAATTTCTTTAATTTATATTTTTTATAATTTAATAAACCTGACTTTTTTTTTTTTTTTTTTGATAAAACAAACATGAGCCGTTCTTATAGTATTCTTTATGAGCTTCAATTATTTAGCACTTGGACAGTTGGACCGTAGAAAAACCTGGCTGGAAGGATGGGGCCAATGTTATTAAACCCGGACCGGTGATCGATTCGGTCGGGGTACCGGGTCAGTGGGTCACTGGTTCAACTGTATGAACCGGATATGTATATAAATTTATATTTTATACGTAATTATATAATATATATTTTAAATGGTGCTAGAGAACCAAGAAACAAATGTAGCTTAGTGGTAAATGCTACAATTTATATCTTCACAACAAGAGTTCGATTCCCACTAGATACAATTTTTAAAAAATTCTATTAAATGATATGTTATATATATTAATTGGTGCATATTAAACAATAAACTAAGTTAGCCTAGTGGTAAGCTTTTGTTAGGCCTCTTCACGAGACTTGAGTTCGAGTCCCCGCGGCTGCAATATTGAAAATTATGGTTGGATGGGTCGGTTCCCGGTCCGACTGGCCCGGTCGGGCAGGTTTTATCAACACTGGGATGGGCCCATTTTCTGCCACGCTTATTTGGACACAGTTTGTGATTGTATCGGCCTATCCCGTTAGTTTTTTTTTCATGATCTTATCCGATCCTACCATGTTCCCTACACAGAGAAAAGGATACCTCATCTCGTATAACAGTATCTATAAGACAACTCCCGTCCCCACAAAAAGAAAAGTACCTACAGCAAAACAGGGAAAAATAATAATTAATACTCTACAGCTAGAATCCAGAGGTTATCTTGAACTTAAAACTTAATAGGTGTTTAAAAGGGCGTTTGGTTCAGGAGAAATTTTTATAGAAAAATGTAATTACTAAGAATCTGTAGAAAAAGTAAGATATATAGAAAAATTTAAAAAATGTTGTTTGGTTGGACAAAATTTTATCGGAAAAATTGAGTAAAATTTCTGAATGTGTGTTTGGTTGAAGATAAAATATTGATGGATAAATTTAGTAAAATTACAAAATAACCCTTTTATAAATAACCTCTTATTTTTAAAACTTATTGAACACTCATTCACATTTTGAGGGGTAAATTCGTCACTGAATTATACCACTTTTTGACTTCTTCGGATTTCAGACAAAATACGACCTTCGAAGAAGCAATCTTTAATCGTGCTTTTCAGAAAATTCACATGCAATTGTCGAAACATGGGGAACAACGAAACATGGGTAAATTTCATGAATCCAGTGAACCAAAGGTGGAATTATGACAATTCACGAATCACTTCCCTAGAAAACTTTATCAAACTCCCGAAACAAACGCCCCCTAACAGTTTAAAAATAAAGGGAATTGTTTTTCTTATTTTGCATGAGATAAAAGTAATTTTTTTACACTTATACAAGAAAGAGAGAGGAGAGAAAATAGGAAAAAAATTAAAGTGGATCCTACATAAAATTTATATGTGTAAGAAGATTGTTTTATCTTATGTAACATAAGAAAAACAATCCCCTAAGATAAATTAATTTGGTTTTGGTTTTATTTAAATTAAATCTATTCACATACAATTATAGTATTTGGAACTCTCTTAACCCAATAATAAAGGATTGTTTTGGGTAATTTTAAAAAAAAAAAAAAAAAAGAATTATTTTGGGTCCGAAGTACACGACAATGCAATATATACTTCAATTTGTTTCAGTTCTCTTAATTCCTAAATTTGATTTGTTAACGAAACAAAAAATTATGAGGTTGTGCAAATTTTTTAAAAAGACTTTTATGAAGTAATTAAGGAGCCACCAAATGGCGCACGTTCAATTTTATGAAACTGACTCGACCATCAAATGCTAAATAAAAAAATAAAAGAAAACTATGCCATTCGACAGAAATTAAGCCACCTGTTGTATGTGTATACAGTTTTCATAAAATCTATTTCGTATCAATTAATATTTCTTCTGTAAAGTAAAATATATAATAAAAGTAAGAGATTCACATCTATCATGTCACATGGCACAAAAAAGTTTCCTACACACACAATATTTTGTGGGGATCGCACTTTTTAAAACAAAATAAAAAATAAAAAAATTAAGGCACGCAAAACGAATCTCTATAACATTACACAATTACTTTTCGAGCATCAATGCTTTGCTTGAACCTTGAAGAGCAATTTAGTGGCTCAACTAAAGATTATGGGATTAAAACTTCTATCACTCATTGAACAAAATGGGAACCCTTTATCTGTTTGTTATGTATATGTTGCTTTGACCACCCTGCTGTGACAAAAATCTCTTATATCGCAGGATGCCCCACTGACTTTTTAAGCGGCTCAGCATATAAATTTTACATTGCAATTCACTTTCAAATTCATTTGGAGTTCAGTCTTTCGGTATATCCCTTATGAAAAGGCAACAAAGAAACGGTATTCAATTATAATATGTGATTCAAAGCAAGTTTTGCAGCCAGTTAATATAGGCTCGAAGTGTATGGCTTGACACACTTGAAGTTAGATTCCTAATCATCCTTATGGCACCCCGCCATCATTGAACTTTCAACTTTCCAAAAACAACATTCCCGTCAATCCCTTTCAAAACGCAGTCACATACACAAGGGAAAAAAGGTCTTCTCTTGTGCAGGTCCCGTGTTTGTATCTTTGATGTCTCTATTGAATGATGTATCTGTTGATGTATCTATTGAATGATGTATCTATTGAATTTTGTTTTCAATATTCTTTCCTAACCGAGCTTATAGTAGAGGATAATTTTTTTTATCAGAGAAACACAATTAATAAAGATTTGATGAAAAAATGAATTTGACAGGAAAGTTCAAAAAAAGTTGTTTGGTTGACCTAGATTTTATTAGGAAAATTGGGTTAAATTTATTGAGTCTATATTTGGTTGGAAGTAAGAAATTGATAGGAAAATAACTTCAAATTACAAAATAACCCTTATATTTGAATCACAAACGTTGTTGCCTAACAAAGTAGAGGGTATTTCTGGCATCTTTGTGATCCTCTTTCTCCCATTAGCCTCCCATTAGCCTAGAGAACTTCAAATATCACCTTGCAAGAGGTATTATGGAACAATGTTTTTGAACCAATTTTTCACAGAAATATAAATGGGTGGGCAAAAATGTCCCCTAACAAAATTTTTCAAATATTTCTACCAAACAAGGACTTCCAGAGAGTCCAATTTGAGATGTATGACTAACTTCAAATAAAATCCGAATGAAACAACTTGTAAGTGAGCTCCCGAGAAAGTCTCGATGGAGTCCAAAACCTTTGTAACGAATATTTTTACTAATTAGATAAATTACCATCCGCAATAATTGGGTTGATATTATATCTACTTCTAAAATCTTAAGGCAGCGAGTCTACGAGTCTTTTCCTCTTATATAATTCTCATTTAGTCAATTTTTAAATAATACGAAACTTTTCGCTCATACTTGAATTTAATTTCCAACAAAATTATTATCCCTACTTTTAATATTGTTTCTCACTACATCTTATATGAAAAAAGGAAAATAAAAAATTGTGTACCTTTTATTTTTTTTGAAAATGTAAAAAATTTGATAAAAATAGTGGGTTAATAATATACGGAATCTAAAATAGTGATAAGTGAAGTGCATTTTTAAGAAAGAATATTAAAAAAAAAATCTAAAATAAGTTTTCTTCAAAATAAATAAATATGTATTTATGTTAAGATCGTCATAAAATTTATTAAATTAAAGATAAATACATCATTACCCGTTAATTTTAAAAGCTAATTCGTTAGGTGTTGACTCGAGAAGGTAGAAAGGAGGAATCGGAATTCACGACAGAAACGCATCCACAAGAAGCTTCGCAAATAAACCAACGGCTAATAGTCTAATAATATAATATAATTTTTTATATTTAATTTCTTTCTGCTGCTTTCCATTTGAATGTTTGATGTATTATTACCAAGCCGCGCGCGCACGCTCAGTGAGCTAATAGTCTAATAATATAATTTATTTTGATTTTGATATTTTTTGTTAAATGAAGTCCTATGTTGGTCCCCCCGAGCTGCCTATTATTTTCATGATGCATGCTCTATTTCGTGTTCTTCCACATAGGAACACGTGGTGTCAGATACGCATACACATACACATACACAAACACAGTGGTTTGAACTTGGAAGAGAGTGAGCGGTTCCTTGTTGTGATTTGGGTCATTTTATTATTGTACTTTAGAGTTAGATCCTCCTCCCTCCTTCCGTCTGTCTAGTCAAAGCTTTTTCCTTGTTCAGTATGCTCTTCCCCTTTCTCGTGAGTCCCTTTCTCATCACCCAACCCACTGTTTTATAACATTAACATATGAAACTAATGCAGACATCCGAACCGAACCACAGGGCTAAGGCTAAGGCTAAGACAGGCTAGGCTTCACTACACCCTATAGTAATACAGTATACACCACACTCCATTTTTCTCCCAAATCATAAGCTCATGGATCACAAATTATTTCAAGCTCCTTCTTCATTGTATGGCAAAAGCAAAGACAACCCATTTGCAGACACCTTCCCTGACCCACTTTGCAAGCTCAATCTAAGGGAGACCTCTGAATTTGTCAATTCCTTTACATTGTCAAATGGTAATACGGATAATATTGAGGTTTCAGCTCACAGGAGAAGAGAAGGAAGCAACTCTGTCACGCACAAGAGACCAGAGGCTCCATGCACCCCTGGTAGACCCGTTTTCAGCTTCGCCGGTACTGTTGGAAATCTTGCAAGAAAGACCTTCCCTTCGAAATGGGACGATGCAGAGAAATGGCTCATGAGCACCTCCTGCCATGACTCCCCAGCTCATACTGTAAATCTATCTGAGTCCTCAAATATCAGCAGCCACTGTGATAACTTTAACCAGCAAATGGACGATTTTGCCGAGAAATCGAGGGTCACACAGGATAGGGTGTCGAAAGCTGTCCCAAACTTTCAAGGGTCTGCATCTTTGGACCACCATAACCATAACACTGTCCATGCTTTTAATAGGATCTCATGCTCCACAGACATAGTACTAAAAGGTGGTGTATATCACCATCTTTACTTCAGAACTCGACCTTGCTCTTGTTTGCCTTACCTTTATGTTCATCATTATCATTCTGTCTCTATTCTCCTTTGTCTTTACTTTGTTTTAAACTCTTGCTTATTTGGAATATTTAAAATATAAGAATTCTTGTATGAGTACTGTTTAGAATGATAATAATTTGAGAATTATATTTCATGATTTGTGAATGCTATTAATTCTGATACTGATAGGATCTGAAAACATTTTCTTTCAAATGTTTTTTTTTAATAAAAAAATTTAAATTTGAAGTGTTCCAGATATAAGTTAAAGGCCTTCTATCTTTAATTGACTTAAATAACATTATTTGGTTGAGTTGGTTCTCTTAAACCCAAAATTGTGTGTGGGTTGAAGATTCAAAATTTTCTTGTGGTGTTCCAAGCTGCTAAGCATAATGATAACTATTACTCTACACTTGCAACTTCTACAGGAGCTGATATTCTCTGTATAAAGTGAATAAAACCAAAATTCCGCAACCTTTAGCAGCTGCATTTGCAATTGAATGGTATAATTCTACTAATAATATTAACAACCCGTTGACAGATAGTGAATTTCATTTACAATGCAGATAAGTTCACAGACAGCATAGAGCCCATTTTCCCGAATTTGAGATATTCAGAGTCAACAAAAGAAGGGTTTTTGTTTAGAAACCCAGGTGGCGAGGCAATGAAAGATGCTTGCACAGAAGTGATACGTAAGGATGTTGGTACGGAGATGACTCCTCTTGGGAGTTCCACAACTTCAAGATGCCACACACCATTCAAGAGTTCATCCCCTGCTCGCCACAACACTCCTGCAAGTAGGTCAGGACCATTGTCCTTGGCAAACCACAATAACACTGCCTGCACCATCGACGTTATTCGGCTGGAGGAGTGCCATTTTGCTAAATTGCAACTAGGAACACAATATGATTCGGTCACGTCACATTGGAGCTCAAGGGAAGAGGAAGAAGAGGAAACATCAAAGAGCTTGAGACATAATGCTAGCCTGAAAGCTGATTCAGACTGCAGGGCTGGTGCTGCTACCTGGGAAGAAGAGGAAAATACCAAATGCTGTCTCAGGTAAATAAACCTTAAACTCGTAAGATATTGTAGTTTCATTTGATGTTTATGGCAGGACTAAGTTGTAATCTGAGTTGTAGGTATCAGAGAGAAGAAGCAAATATTCGAGCTTGGGTAGATCTCCAAAGTGCTAAAGCAGAAGCCCGATCTAGAAAGCTTGAGGTACTTTATCACTAATCTTTTTCTTATGAATCATGGTTAGTTTGCGATGGTTTGTATTCAACCAATCGTCAACAATTTCTGTGGAAACCGTCAATAGTTTGCTATGGAAAGTTTTTCTTAACCCTTCCCTCCATTTGTTCACCAAATCATTAAAGTTCAAACCTCTTATTCTCTAAATTAAATTGATTTTCAGTACAAGTTACGCCTGCAATTTATCTAATCCGGAGATAAAGTATGCTTAATATTTTTCAATAAGTTAAACATGAAAATGAAGTTTTCCTATTGGTTGATTTACTTGCTCCATTTTCTTCGCTTTCATTTTCTTGTTCCTTGTTATTAGCATTGAAAATAATAATTTGCAAGTACAAATTATCCTTTGTAGAACCATAGTTTTTATGCATGCAGATGCAAGCAGTTCTTAGTCCAGATTGCTGTGTCATGCAGTGCAAGCGGTGTAGCCTGCTGTGTGAACATATAGAAACCCGGGATGGTTTGATTTAAATACTGTACATATATACAAGTTGATACATAAGCTGTTGGTTTGAACTTTTGACTACAAACCAAAGTGCATTGCCAGGCAGCATGTTGTTTGCCTATCTCCTCGAGCCAACCCCACCAGATCACGAGGACACCATTCTCATTATTATTTTCTTCATCACTCCACACTTCCTCAATCCGATACATATTTACATATCCATATTCATGCTACCCTCTTAATAAAAAGAACTACAAATTCGAAAAGTCACTCTGTCCCCATTATTATATTAGGGAGCTCATTGATTTGATCATTATGTCTAGAAACTCGTGGGAAACTTGGAGCTTATCTTATCAGTTGAGTGGGCGATTATAGTCGTACTTGCCGTCCTTGATTTCTTTCATCCATGTTCAACTTCAATATAAAATGGATTCTCCTACTTTTATTTGAGGGTGTAGAACATGTATAAAACTTGTTTGGACAGATTAAAGGTTACAGTAGAATTGACTAATAGTGAATATGGTAGGAAGGAAACAAACTATAAACAGCATTATTCAACTTATTCCGAGGCTAGCGTTAGTTATACTTAATATTTTTTATTGAAAAATGATATATGCATGCTGTTTGTAGTTTATTATTTTTAAGGTCAGTTTGTGTATAGTCTAATCTGTGCATAAAAATTTCAAGAATGTGTAATTTGTATAAAAAAATACCAAAGTATAAGAGTAGTATACAAAATAGAAAAGTTATAAATTTTCAAATAAAAAATGTAAGCATAATTAGTACTAATTTCTAAATAAACGAGTGTAGTTATTTCTACAGTATGGATCATTTTAAGGTACTTGGGTAGCACAGTGCACTTAATTTAATATTAAACATAGTACCTTTAGTTTTCAAAAGTTAAAACCATCGAAAACATAAATCTGTTAAAGCATTGCAGATTACTAAGCAAGTAATTATTTATGCGTTTAATATCTCTTATGTTTTAGAAGATAAAATTATTTCATATATATACATAAAAGTGGGTGTGACCTATTTTTTTTTCTTTTCTCTTCACATTGCCTCATCTTACATATTTATATGTATGTGTAAAAAATAATTTTATCTCCTACTACATGATACACGTCGAATCCATTATTTATGAACTTAAACAAAATTCAGAAGCGTTGGAACTAAGATATCCTGTTGAAACAATTGTTTAGGTGAAAATACAGAAGATGAGATCACACTTGGAAGACAAGTTGATGAAGAGGATGGCGGTGGTTCACAGAAAAGCTGAGGACTGGAGAGCAGCAGCTAGACAGCAGCACTTGCAGCAAATCCAGAAAGCCACTGAACAAGCACAAAAGATTATGAAGCAGCATAACCCACTAGTTTCAGGCAACAATTCATGTGGTTGCTGCTTCCCTTGCAATAACAATCGTAAGTTAACATGATAGAATATTGACCCATTACCCTTGAATTGTTTGCGGGCTTTTCATCGAAAAATATCTCTCTCTTAAATTTTTAATCATTATTATTTCAAGTAGGTCACTCTTGCAAATATTTTTTAGTATACTTTATTTTTTAGTACTCAATGTCCACATTCTCTAGTTTTTTTTTTTTTCAGCTACTCACGGGGTGAAAATAGAGGAACAAGTTCAACATCTTAGACAATTTGAAAACTAATTGACAAGGCACTATTGAAATTAACATCGAAACATAAATAACAAAAATTGCATCCCAGCTTCAAGCTCTCCAATAAATCAAAATCCATATTATTTTTTTCTGGGTTGCTTTTATGTTTTAATATCCTGATAGTGTGGATATCAGCTCAAAAGGTGTGGTAACAGAGATGGTCTCAACGCCGTAGTTCATTCGTAGAAAAGATAGATAACAAAAAACAATTTAATCTGACATCAAGCAGTAAACAAATATCTACGAAAAAAAATAAACAAATAAGACAGTCACAGAAAGCAGCTCCGCCTCATTCACGTCAGAGCAATAAGAGATACATAAACCCTCACACAAGTCCATCTTCAACCGACGCTCTTGGATCAAGATAGAACTAGTTGTTGTTTTTTTTATATAAACAAGATAGTACTAGTTAATTTGCGATTTAACTCACATGGAGCTAAATCTTAAGCTAATTAATGTGAAATGAAGTTATTGGATGACCTTCTTGTTAAAATTCTTTTTATCCCACTTGTAAAATATTTTCCCCTATTTCTTTCACTAAGATCTACTTTTCTAATAAATTTTATCAATTTTTTTGTTGTTGTGAGAATTCCTCTCATGAAAAATATTCAAATATTTATTATATTTTATTTATTTTTCAGCTGATATTTTAAGAAATAATATACTTGAAATTTAATATACATATTTTAGATTTTTTTTTTTTTTTTTTTTTGATAACATATTTTAGATCTTTATATGGTACGTCCTCTGTCCACTAATATTATAAATTTTTTTACTCTTAACTTGCTTGCTTATATGCTTTAGTGTATATGAGTTATGTGCTTATATTTGAATTTTATAAGTGGAAAACTTTTTAGAGAATGTTGTCGGATTCGAATTCATGATAACGGGATGGTATTGTTAATACACATTTGACAGCTATCTATTTTTTGAATATAAAAAGAAGTACAAAATTTTGAAATTATCTGTGATATAATTAGTACAAGGCATATTGTTTTTTGAGTTTTATATTTATTATATTACATTATTTAAACTTTTTTCCTAAACATACATTTAAGAGGAATGGGCCTTATCTATTAAATATGTGCGTGAATATTTTTTTAGGTCATGGAACATGACAAATATAATTTTTTTTTTTTTTTTGCAGATTATTTTTCATACTGTTTTTCTAGGATACATGGGTAATTTTGTACCCTTGATTTTATGATTTCATGCACTCGAAAATATTTACACTTTTCACCGACCCGTGAGAAAGAAATAAGAGGTAAAAGTATTTGTCATTTTAAATATGACATAAAGTTATGTCATTTTAAAAGAGAGATAGACATAAAATAATATTTTTTATTTAAAAATTAAATTAAAAAAAATTAACTCACTTTATCCTCCATGATTTTTATTTTTTGTGTCTATCTTTATTAAAATGTCATAATTTATGTCATTTAAAATATCAAATACCAAACCCGAAATAAATATGGGATAAATAGAAAAAAACAAAAACCCCATTTCTTTCCCCACGATTTATATTTTTATCTCTCTTAAAATATACAACTTTTTAAAGGACACAATTTTCCCATTAAAAAAAAAAAGTGGTAAAGGGCGTGGTAATAATTCATCGTTACCGGAAACGTATCCTTTGAAGAGAATCTGCAATTATTGTTTGTTTATCTTTGAAGAGCTGAAAAATGCCGTTGAAGGTGTTCGAGGCGACAGTGTCGACCTTTGACGGGGTCTTTGAGAAGTTCCGATCAGAGGGTCACCAAAACAAGGCTAATCTCATCCTCTTCTTGGCTGACAAAGACCCTGCTACCTCTCTTAGCTGGTGCCCTGGTTGGTATATTCATTCTATTTCATCCAACAATCTTCTTTTTCTATTCTTCTCTCTTTCTTTCTGTTTGTTTGCTTTCCTGTTTTTTCGTCTTACCCAGATCAGATGGACTCTTTCATGTAATTCTCAGTTATTTTATTTTATTTTTATTTTTTGGGGAAAATCTGGAATTTAATTAATTTTTTTTTTATAATGTAACTAATTTCATGGAGCAATTGGCAACATCAATGAGAATTCTGTGATAACATAGAAATAGAACAGTGAGTGAAGGCCCAAAAATGGGGAAAGGGAGTGTTTTTTTCATCCAAATATTGGGGAATATAAATTATCAATGAAATACTATAGTAAACTAGAAAGCAAAAGGTGAGATTTTGACGGTTAGTGAAGCATGATATCCCTCCAGTTTAGCAGAATCCATGAATATGACTGACTAGTTTCCTCCTCCTTTTTTAATATGGGCGTCTACCTTCCTAGATTGTGTGAGAGCTGAACCTGTAATCTACAAGAAGCTGGAGGCTTCACCTGATGATATTGCACTTTTGAGAGCTTATGTTGGAGATAGACCAACATGGAGGAACCCCCAGCATCCATGGAGGGTGGAACCTAGGTTCAACCTCACTGGGGTGCCAACTTTGATCCGCTGGGAGAATGATGCAGTCAAAGGTCGCCTTGAGGACCATGAAGCTCACCTTGAAAACAAAATTGAAGCTCTTGTTGCCGACAAATGATTGCCGGTGGATCTTAGATAGTTGGTATCACATTTAATTTTAACAGTTTATGGTATACTCTTTTCAGCAATTCATCCATCTCATTCTGGGCTCATAGCTATGCTGATAAACCATGTAATAAATGTTGAGTACGAACGGTGACAAGGGAAGTCTATGTAGAAGACAGTGGTTGGTTCTTACATAGTGTTTTATGGTGTGTGTTTGTATGTGTGTGTGTGTGTTTTTAATGGTTTTGAGCATCATACATGTTCTGGCTAATCCTAGATAATGTTCAGCTTGCTGTGTATTTATCCGAAGTCAGCCTGAATTAATTACTGTGTATACTCAACAACTTAAACTGCACCAAGTGCCCATGCAGTTTGGTTTGCAGACCAAAATAATGCTCCTAACCGAGAAGGCTTTTAAAATCAAGCATTTAACTGTGCAGCCACTCCTTCCCTTCTACCAAAGACAGAGTCATATGACCTTGTGAAAAATAAATTGGCTCATTGATGACCTGCAACTTTGAATGGGTCCCCAACCACCATCCACAATGATAAAATCATTAACTCACTCTGTAGCGGCTTTTTCCACCTTCATTGTTTGGTAGCCAGAGAACCAATCATTCAACTTTCAACAGTGTGGCAGGTTTAGAATCAATTGTGTATAGATCTGTGCAATATCCTTGGAGAAGAACCCTTTCATTTTCAAAGCTATTGTTGTCAATCTTGCTAGTAAGCCTATCCATCTGCAAGACGTTCAGTTGGAAGTTTTTCTAAAGATGATAAATTTCATTTTAAGATTGCATATTGGATACAAATACATCAGCACCTTCGAAGAAATAATTGATCTAGAAAAAATGAAAATGGAATTGTCCATTTCTCCCTAACTCCCGTATCGTATCCCGTGCCCCTTGGCATTTGAACATCCTGCATATTCTAAGATTGCCAAATTGCTCAAGCCTTGCAGGGAATGCCCCTGCTTCCCCTTTGTCTGTTTGAATTGTAGCATATTATCCCTCCTACGACCTTTTGAATTTCTAGGAAACCTGAAATGTAGACGAACAAATGATGGGGATGCTAACTGCTACAGGACTAGTGCAGCTATGGGGATAACATAGGAAGTTGGCTCAGTTGTAGCCATAATATTATTACATTCAAACACTAGTGCCAAGTTGAATGGGATGAGAGGTCGCCTTTTGCTTGCAAAACAAAATCTTAATTTACTGATTATTGAAGATGCTTTTATTGTAATCAACATGATTAGTTAAGTTGGATCTATTAACGAAAATGCTTTTATGGCTCTGAATTGTATGGAGTTCCTTTAGAACCTAAACAAAACCGGATCACAGATGTATTTACAGAAGCCAAGGGAAGGCATACCTTCGTTTGGCTAATGGAGCATCATCTTTATCTCCCAATTTATGTATTTTGAACAGCCCTGTCTGGTGAATGATGCACCCATGTTTGATGACTGTACACCACTCTTTGTTCTTCATTACTTTCATCCGTATTTAACATAAATTATATGTCAAAGAATGAACAAATCCTCAATATAGGAAAAAGACATAACCACGTAATTTGATGCTGTATATTTAGTTGACATAAAATCAGACCAAACTACAATTGGAAAAATAAATTGAATCCTAAAATTTAGACCTTTTTCTGCCAAATACAAAATGAATAGTAAAAATAAATCATAAAATCGTTATAGTTTCATATAAATTAAGCATTTCTCTTTATGCTGGTCATAATTTGCCTCGTGTCTGCTGTCTGCTATACACACTCCCTGCATTTCCGTTCTTGGCATGAAAACCAACTGCAAGTCAATAAAGAAAAATTTTAACATGTAGATCATCAGCACGCAAGGTCTTCTCAAATGGATGAAAGAAACATATTTATTTATTTATTTTTTTGGTTGTACTGTGAGGGTATCCTCAAGCAAATAAGTTTTACGAAAAAGACATTTTCCAGAGAACTTTTCTTTATTAGCTTCTTTCATTTTCCTCCCATCCCCAGATGACGAATATGATACTGGAGAATAAAAACTGAAAAGCGAAGGCATAAGCTTATATGCCAGAAAACTTCAGGAATATTGAACAAAGTGACTTTAAACTTAAGCACAGATTTGAACAAAAAAACTAAAATCATTAAAAAAAATGCTTTTGGGATGGGACTCATTTTGATACATATATAAACAGTACAATTAAGAACCATAAGTTTACCAAAGCTTTTGCTGTTTCAAGAATTGGCATTTAGAAGTAGTCTCTCTATACGAACCCGAACCCCTAATATAAACTAGTGTTTTAAAACTCGGATTGGTGATCGATTCGGTCGAGGTATCAGGGTCACTGGTTCAATCGGATTCAATCGGATTTACTGTTCACATATTAACAAAATATAAATATATTATTTATGTTAAAAATTCACATAAGAAAAACTATCAATCGACTTTAGAAAATAAATTGGTTTTCAATGATAGCAGATATTATATACTTCTAATTCTAGATCATATCCTAATATTGGATTAAAATTGTAATATAAGCTAAATGCACCTTTCATGCCTTGACATAACACAGATAAACTAAATCATGATAACAAATGGTAGGCATGAAATATACAATAAGAAGAAAGTGCCCAACGTTAAGATGAAACCATCAGTGTTTATCCCTACTTATCATTATAAGATGCAATTAAATTACACAAAAGAACTACACTAATCCAAAATATCTTCTTATTTTCACGTTACTTTCTAATCATATTAACCATAAATTATGAGCATGATTTAATTCATGAGTTCTTAGCAACCAAAAGAAGAAGAAAAAAAGAGGGTCAATCGGTCTAAATCAGGTTTTGTTTAATCCACCGAGTCACCGAAACTTGGGCTGGTCAATCGGTTCAAACCGAGTTGATTGCAGAATCGATCCAAATATCCACTCGGACCGCTAAACTCATCGAGTCATTGAGACCCGAGTCGACCCGGCCGATCCGAGCCAGTTTTTAAAACACTGATATAAGCTCTAAAGATTATAACCTAAATCTTATAGTGCCCTGTAATTTGATAACTACTACTAAGAACCAATTTATTTAATACTATCAATACTATGGATAAAAATAAAAGTTATAAGTCACTAGGGTCTAGCGGTAAGAGATTTGGGTAAGTTGTATTAGGTTATGTATTCAATACCCACTTTTATTCAAAAAAAGAAGAAGATAATGTATTGTCTTACTAAAAATTATTTATCAAGAAGCTATCATTAATAAGGAAAAAATGTGTCATTTCATAGACACCTCTTTGTGTCTATGAATGACACAACTTGGTGATTTAATATCTACTATACACCTTTACATATATGTTCTTAGTTCTAAAAGCATATTCTCACGTGACCTTAGACTTATCTCCATGCTTTGATATTTGATTCATTATCTTGATTCTTGTTAACTAATTTCTGAATCTCATTCTCCAGGTTTATTTGTTATCATCAAAATTATATATATTTTTTTGGTTTTCCAAGGTATCCTTCAGCCCACAACCGAAGATTAATTTTTTTGAGATGAAAGATCACATTAAGTGAGTAAATCTCTCCCAACAAAACCTTTTCTATACGCACGGTTAGGAATCGAATCCTTGTCAACATATTTAAGGAACTCAGCTATCTACCAACTGTGCTGGACTTTGTTGGTTCATCAAAACTATATTTACGTGACATCATCAAATATATCAACCTTGAGCGCAGAGGATCAACATCTTCACTTTGATTTCACATATAATCCCACTATAAACATTCATGAAGGTTGATGGTCTTCCCTAGTATTGCAGAGAAGCACGGTTTGATTGATCATTTTATCGTTTTTTAAAATAAATTTACCCTTTTGGCCATTTTATCGTCCTTTTCAAATTAATTTACCATTTTGTCCATTTTCTCAAGCAATATACCATTATGCCCATCTTCTCAAATTATATATCAATTGTCCTTATTTGATTAAAATTTAACCAAACCCTAATACTTGGTAAGTCGTTTACTCAAGTAAGTGCGGGTCAAACTTTGATAAAAAAAATATAATATATAGTTTGAGAAGAGGGGCAAATGAATATATAATTTGAAAAGATGAGTAAAGTGACGATTCTTTATTAAAATGGGGACGAGATGGTCTATCAGCTAAGAGGGGTACCTTCCCCTAGACTAATCTTTTATGTTTTTGAGAAAAAAATAAATAGAATTTAGAACATAAATTTGTAAAATTATGCTAGGTTGTGTTATAATATTTTAAGACTTTATATATGAAATATAGATTTGAATTTATGTTTTTGGTTCGAGCTGTTGATTGAGTGAGTTACTGAGTACATAAATAATCCAGGGACTCAAAACCCCAACTGAGTTTAATAACATTGTGAAATACCTCTTCAAACATTGTCATCAACAAAACAAATTGAACAAGTTCATTCAAATGAACGGTTTAGAATAAGGGTAATATTACTCTCATGTAATATGAGAGTAGTTCTCTCATGTTACAGAGAGAATCCAAGTAGGGTCTGCTATTTAAAAGCAAAAAAAAAAAAAAAAAAAAAAGGGCATGATTTTCGAAGTGAGAGAAAATGAGATAACTACCTCATGTAAAATGAGAGTAATATAACCCCCAAGGGTAGCTCAGTTGGCAGCTGAGCTCCCAAGGGATTGCTTGGTGCAGGGATCAAACCCTGCCTCAAGCAGCTTAGTGCACCCACTGTTACAATGAGGGGCTAGCCCAAACGGGCCGTACCCCCGAGGGCATGGTGCCCGGAAAAGGTTGAATAGGGATACCTCCTGGCAATGTACCAAAAAAAAATAAAAAATGAGAGTAATATTTCCCTTAGAATAATATCATTTTTTTTCAACCGATTTATGATTTACATTTTTTTGGAAATATTCCAATCGGTTCATTGCTTCGCAACTAATCTAATTCGGGGCAGGTCCAGGATTAAGGCTTTAAACCCCTCCCAAAGGTGGTACTCGGAAGATTCGAACACATGCTCTCACCCCCACCTGCTTAGCTTCCATGCGCCAACTGAACTATCACCATTTGGTCTGATTTATCATTTACTTGATTATAGTTCGAATTGAATATTATAGAATCCATATAGGGAGTGACTACTCTAGGACTATTTCCTCCATTATCAAGACTTGGACTCGAGATATTTTATAAGGTAAACAAATACTGATTGTTGGTGACTGATACCCATTCTTAAAGCCTGTTTGGATCCTCTTATTTTTAAGCTAGAAGCTACTTATAAGCTAAAGCTAAAAAAAAAGAGCTTAAAAAAATAAGCTAAAAGCTGTTTGGAAATTACATAAAAGTTTTAGCTTAAAAATTACTTAAAAGCACATATTTCAAGAAAATTATCTCTTTCTATCTTTATCACTCTTTATTTTAAAAAAAAGCACACAATTCAAGAAAAACAGATAAGAGCTTAAAAAAAAGCTCCTCCTAGGAGCTTTTAATTTTCAGCTTTTTTCTTCATTATAAAAAAAAGAGCTTTTCGTTATAAGAGCTTTTCCCAAAATCTGTTTGGCCTAGCTTATGCTTATAAGTAGCTTGTAGCTTAAAAAAAAGAGGATCCAAACAGGCACTTAATATGTGTGAGAATATTTATATATATATATTTGAAAAATAATTATTAATATTTAGTTACATATTTTATTTATTTAAAGCATAAAATATAATCAATGTGTGTATATCTATATTTTAGTTAAATAAAATGTTTAAATATTAGTCATTAATTACTAAATATACAAAAACCTCTTGAAAAACAAATAATTGAAAAATAATCTCCTTAAAAAAAAAAATACATGTGTAAAGGCTAGAGTCTCTGATACAAGTAGAGGTGGCAAAGTGGGTGGCCCGCCCCACCCCACCATCAACTCGTCAAAAAATGAGTCAGCCCGTCCCGCTCCGCTTTTGAAAGTGGGCTGAAAAACTCAGCCCGCTCCGCCCCGTTTGGCGGGTTGACTCGCCAGCCCGAGCCTATTTTACACTGACCCGTCTTAGCCCGCCAAAAAATGAGCTCGCCTCGCCTCGCCCCGTTTTTGAGATAAGTTGAAAAAATCAACCCGCCCCGCTCCATTTGACGGATTGGTCAGGTTAGCCCACCGAGCCGAGCCCGTTTTGCCGTCTCTAAATACAAGTTACAAACCAGAAAGGGTGTCAAAAGAAAAGGAAAAAAGATTAGCACTTGGTGCTATGTCACGCCCGTACTGAGATTACAAGGTTGACTCAAACTCCACAGCTGCATCCGGCGACCACTGAGGGCCTTGAATAAAGGACTGCACGGTGAACTTCCCCGCCTCACCTTCGGTAAGTTTTGGTTTATAACCAGTCCATTTAAACCGCTGAGACGTGTTTGATCCCGAACCAGTGTTTTGGTATTCAGCATAAAATATGGTGTTTGGTGGCTCTACATTGTCTTCCCAGCTTATCCATCCCGCTGGGTTCAACAATGATCCAATATCAGATTCCATAATAACAGTGGTCGAGTAATTTTTCCAAGGCCTACCAAGGTATGTGGGAGCTTGAAGAATATTGTCCAGTACTGCAGTTATTGATGATTTGTGGATTACAATTCCAGTGTTCTGGTTGGGGTCGGTCTTGCCCTGTGCTGTGATGGTGTTGAACTGTTTTGCTAAGGGTTGCCTGGCCAATGGCCATGATTTTGCAATTTCGGAACACAACAGCTGCATTCCCGAATATGAAGTCTATTGTGCCTGTAATCTCGCATTCACGGTAGAACTGCCGGTTGGAATAGGCATACAGAGTATCCTGGAAACCAAATATAAGGGTCTGGTTAATAATAGCTCAATTAAAGAAGCACTCTTCGATCAATCCACCTAATTTTTCTCTTCAAAACTATTATAATTGATCAGTGAAATATATGACACGGAAAATAAAAATCTTATTACAAATAAAAAATAGAATCTTTGAAGAAGCAAAAACCTTGGCGTATACTCATTGTTTATTTAACCAGTGGCAATGGCAAAATATAATTAAATATTGCCACGGGAAGAAGATATATAGAATGTCCAACATCCAACGAATAATACAACCAAATTAAAAACAAAACAGAAACTATATTCAAATTGAATTGAACACAAGCTACAGGCCAAGAGAGAATGGGAAACCAGTAGAGCCCAACCAGCCAGAACCTGCAATGAAATTGGCAGGAGTAAAAGACTGGGCCTCAGAAGAACTGGTAATGACCTTAAACCCTTTCCACTTAACCCTCCCAGAGGTGGCAGCACCAACCCCTGTGTTCTGATACTCACCATAAAACAAGGTATTCAATGCAAAATTCGCATCCCACTCATGCCAGCCAGCAGGGTCAATGACATCACTTATGGTTGATTGCATGATGACAGTCCTAGAGTACTCCTTCCATGGCCTCCCAAGAAACGTAGGGAAGCTGCCCTTGACGGGTTCTAAATCCTTAGTGGCGCCAATCCTACATTTTTGGATGACAATGCCAGTGTTTTGGTTAGGGTCAACTCGGCCTTGTGCTGTGACCATGTTCTTTTGTCCTGAATTGGGACGCCTAGCGTGGATGTCACAGTTTTGGAATACAGCAGCCGAGTTGCCAAAGATGAAGTCCACAGTGCCAGCTATGTAGCAGTTCACAAAGAATTGGCGATTGGAGTGGACGTAAAGGGTGTCTTGGTATGCAAGGAAGTCGCACAAGTAGAACGCTGATAGGTCACCACCAACTCGAAGGGCCACGGCTTGGTGCTTTGAGGGACCTGCTGTGTTCTGGAAGGTTATGTCTCGGGCCAAGAATCGTTCACCCACTACGGCTGCAACCACACCAAAACCAACCATAAAAAGTCAATCACAATAAGACTCTATTAACCTCTCATTCATTACATTTCATTTTTATCTATGATTCATAAATTGAAAATTTAAATTCTCTATGATTCATTACATTTCATTTTTATCTATGATTCGCCAGATAAAAGAATATTACTCAAGAATGAATATAATATTCAATAATCGTCCCATCGTGTTGTCTTATGTTTAAATGAGATTAGTCAATTAAAAAAAATACAAATTACACATATTTTATTGGGTTTATTCATGAATTATCTATAATTTTATAAAATTGTAAATGTATGTACATAAATAGAAATATATAAAAACATGACTCTAACAATTTATAAATATATATATAGCTTATCATTTCTCAAGCTGTTTGAGATAATTTTATCACTAAATTATAATCATACAAAGATAGATCAATGATGATAAAGGAAGAGAGAGAAAAACGGAATCATAACCATTCAAAGGTGAATCAATTAATATAAGAAAATAAATAAATAAAACGACGTAATTTTGGAACGGCTGGAGATAAATTTATCTTAAGTTGCCGGAGAAATATTTTTCTTATATATATATATCAGGAAAAACATTTCTGCACTTACTGCAGATAAGTTATTTGCATTTATTCCCAAAATGACGTCATTTTAAGATTGAAAGATTAAAAATTATAATTATAAAGACTATAATAACTCTCAAATAAATTAAAATTACAAAAATACTATGATTTCTGTCCCAAAATGATATCATATTAGGCTTACTGTAGATAAATTATCTGCAGTAACTGCAGAAAAAACAAATCTTATATATATATATATATATATATATATATATATATATATATATATTGCCATTTTGGTCTTAATTTATGAAGTGTCAGCGAATGGTTAAAAAATAAATGTATAAATATATGTACATGAATAGAAATAATAAAAGGAGTGAGGATATTTTAACTACCAGAAATTTTTACTATTAACTTATTACCAATCACATCACTATTGGATCAAAAAGAGATAATATTAAAAAAATTTAAGAAAAAGAAAAAATATTAATCTAATAGTAATTAAATAGATAATAAATTAATAATAAAAAAATTTGGTAATTCTGATAGTGTCTAACGAAAGATGTCTCCAACCTTTAATGGTCTCAATTTATGAAGTGTCAGTGATTAGACATGAAGTTGACAGCAACTTCAAAATTAAAATAAAGTTGACTGTTTTTACCAAAAAAAAACAAATAAAAATAAAGTGAACTGTGAATTGGGCAAAGCGGTAGGTGTGACATCAACATCTGACTCCAAAGTTTGACGATGTCTAGGGATTGCGTTTACTTGAAATGGATTTTTAATTTTATTTTCTTAAACTACTTTTTGCAGACAATTAGACAATTAGGTCATCTTAATAAGACCTATGCACCTAATATTATTTTCTGAAAACAATACAAACTAAAGCAACTAATAGAATTATTTAAAATAATAAATTTGATGTGCAAAAAAAAGTATTAATAAAGGCTCAAAGCTAGCAGGGTCAAGGAGGAAAAAAGGAATCGACCATAGGCTGATAGGCACATGCAAGTTGTGGTGGGATCGGGAGCTGATTGCTAACTAATTAAATGCTCAATGGATATGGCTATGGATATGGATATGCATGGACGTACAGGATTGGATATTTTTACACGAGTATTTCACATTATCCGGAGATATAAACACAAAATATCAAGTAGAACTTTATTTCTGCTATCCTGTCTGAAATTTTGAGGGTCTTGTTGAAATTCTTTATATTAATCGGATGCTACACATACCAGGTGAAAATTTTACATAAAAAATATACATTCTCGGGGTTAGGGATGTTCATCGACCGATCCAAATCGATTCAAATCGTGGTGATCGAACCGAAAAATTAATAACTGAATAAACCGAAAATCGAAAAATCGAAAACCGATTAAAAACCGTAAATTTTAATTGAATTGGATCCATTTTTGGATGGGTTAATGAAAACCGATCCAATATATTAATTCCTCTCTACTTATTTGGGTCTTTCTCTAATCATAGCCTAACAATTTCTAAACCCAAAACCTATTAATCCATCAATTAAACCCAAGAAAAAATCTAGTCACATCTCATTAACAAAATTTTATCTTTGTAGAGTTTCATATCTCATTGTCAAAAAAAATAAAATCATATTATAGTTTATTAATGCTTTTGTATTTCAAAAAAAATAATTTTACAAAGCCAATATATACAAAAGATGTTATTTGCACAATAATCATGAAATAAATTTTAGGATTTTCAAAAAATCGAAAACCGATCCAATCTAAACCGAAAAAAAATAAATTGGATCAGATCGGATTTGAAAAAAAATCAAAACCGAATGAATAATTATATGATCAAACCGAAAGAATTGGATCGGATGATTTTTGCTTCCAAAACCGATCCAATCCAGACCGCGAAGACCCCGCAGAAGTGGACAACTAGTTAAGATATGCTGCACATCCACGTTCCACACACGACCACTTTTTCAGACAGATTTTACACAAATCAAATCCTTCTCATATTTGTCTCTCTCTGTCCTTTTCTATCCTCCATGGTCTGGTGTTTTTTCCCTTGTGTCTGGTGTGTACATCTATTATACATGTATCTACACTTTTCGTATTTATTATGCTAAAACCTACTTCAGTTGGTTGAATTAAACTAATAACCCCCAGGACCAATTAGCGGAGGAGTTTGTCACTTATCAACCTTCCATTCTTTTATGAGGACAGGTAGATGTAAAAGTTTTGCAAATCTGCCACTCATAAAAATGGACTAATTAATGCTGAGCTACAAACTTACAGGTTCAAAACTCAACTCGATTTATTAAATGTTGCAAGTTTAGCAAAACAAAACACAAGTCACCTCTAATAGAACATTAATCACTTTCTAAGTGCTGTCTTTGGTATCAAGGTTCTTGGAGCTTAAAAAGGAAACAAACTGTTGGAGATACCAACTCGATTTGATTTGAATTTTTGGCAATTTGAATTCAAGGAAGAGAAAGGATTTTGTTAGAATGGTTGAATATTTAAATACACTCATCCTTAATTATCGGTTATCCTTGACATGTATCCCTTAATTCATAACTTTTTATGTTTAGAAAAAGAGAAAGAGAAAGTAATGAACTTACCCACCGTGGCAGAGTTGAAGGTTGTGCTGCCATCAACAACATTTCTATTTGCTGTGATGATAGTGTTGCTTCTACCATCTCCCACGAACATGATGTTGGTCTTCTTCTTTGGCACATCCACATTCTCTTTGTATACTCCTGCTTTGATCTTAATGACATATCTTTTGCTACTCTGCTCAGGAGCTGCAGCCACCGCAGCTGACACTGTCCTGAAGTTCCCGCTGCCGTCTGCCGCCACCACAACGTCAGGATTCACCGTACCCGCCTGCAGAAGCCGCCTGTCGGATGCAGAAATCCACTCCGGCCACTCGATCATCCCATCCTCCTCCATGAGTTTCCTGCTGTTCCTTCCCAACATCTTCTTCTCATAATTAGCAATGTCAGTATCAGTGAGGTTCTTGGTCATAGCCAATGCGTTGCTGCACATGTGCTCCACATGGACTTCCCCTGCTTCCAGATATTTCCTGAGGCTTCTGTCGGCCACATCATGAGAGAAACCATCCAAGCAAGTAACTTGGTTGGTTATGGCGGAACTTATCAGAGTCTTAAGATCATCAGCTTGCTGAGACAGAGACTTGTTATGAGATGGGTATTCTTTGAGGCTCTCCTTGGCCTTGTCAAGCTCGTCCAGCGTCTCATCAATGGTTTCCAAACAATCGTGGAGTGCGGTTTTCTCCCTCTTGGTGAGACCCTTTCGGGTTAACAGCTTCTCGACGGTGAAGTAATTGCTCTGAACATATCTGGTGGTTATGTTCAGGGACATCTCTATCACATTTATGTGACTGGATACTTTCTGGGCATGGCCAGGTTCAGAGGCCACGGTTGAGAAGCACAATTCTGGGTACAATGTGCTGCTGCAAGCACTTTTGATGATGGCATGGGATGTGGAGGACTCGTCATTGTCGTCGTGGCTCTTGCGGGAGCTTGCTACAGCGACAATGACGGTTACAAGAAGTAAAGTAGCCAAGAGAGCGAAGAAGAGCTTCTTGTTGTTGTTCTTGGACAAGGAATCAGATATTCTGGCGAAGGCTGATTTGATCTTGTTCATGGTGTGTGTGGGTACTTTGAGGATATTAACTGAGAGAGGGAGGGATCATGTGAGACTGTTTTGGACAGTTACAGCGAGCAAAGGATTTATATTGAGAAAGCAACGTGGACTTGGAGAAGCATATAGTCAACAATGTCTGCCAAAAGTTTTTTTTTTTTTTTTTTAATAATTGCCAAAAGGTATTTAGTATTTTCTAAGTAAAAAGAATTCTATTTACCTTCGTTTTCAAAATGATATTATTTTAGAGTTAAAATATTAAAAAATTATAATAATAAAAATCAGAGTAAATATTTTTTTTTTGGTTTCTGACAATATTTACGAAATCCTTTTTAGTCCCTGGCAATAAAAAAGGACCAAATTGGTCTCTAACAGTATGAAAAAAGGGCCACGTTAGTGACGGAGGAGTTGACATAAGGACTAACGTAGCCCTTTTTTTCTTAATTTTAGGGACCAATTTGGTCTTTTTTTATTGCCAGGGACTAAAAAGGATTTCGTAGATATTGCCAGGGACCAAAAAGGTTGTTTACTCTAAAAACTATGATATATTCAAAATAAATTAAAATTATAAAAATATCTTAATTTCTACTCCAAAATAATATTATTTTAGACTAAAAAAATAATTAATCTGCATTCTCTGCACAAAAAAGCTAGGGAATATGCTTTTACCATAAAATTTTACATATTTTTTTAGTACAAAATATTACATGATTTTAGTATGTGAATATTTTATGTTTATCTTTTTTTTATCATAGATATTAAATATCTAAGGGTAGTTTGGGGTTCTCAAAATAAATTTCTTGTTTCCTTGATGTGAATCTTCCCTTTGATTATTTATATTTGGATGTTAAAATGAGCAAAGATAGCAAAACTGGAGCCTCTTCAGTGTTGACGCTGCAATAATTCAATTTCATCTCAAATGTTGGAGACTCTTGTTCCAAAACCTTAAAATAAAAGTTTATTATAACATATTTTATTTTATAACCTACAAATTAAAATGATTTTTAAAAACGAGGATTTAATATTTTCATATTGAAACAAATAAATTTTATCTCCTACAATTTTTATATAAAAATATATAAGACTCATATAAAAAAACAAAAAAAAATATGAATATTATACTTTTATAAAAATAAAGATTAAATTTATTTCCTACCGTATACAAAACAATAAGGGTTAATCTTTTCTCGTTACATGAGAAAAGATTAATCTCCTACAGACACAAAGTAGAGGAAAAAGAATAAAAGAGAGAGAAAAAGTTAGAGTGAGCTCCACCATTAATTTATGTGTGTAGGAGAAAAATATTTTCTCCTGTAACATGAGAAAATATTAACCCAAACAATAACGATTGAGTATGATTGTTTGGTTATAGGGTATCTTTTTCTCTTGCAGCAAGCACGCAAAAAGTCGCGCTGCCTTTGTTTTTTATTTTTTAATTAAGTGGGTCCGATAGATTTTTATTTCAAAAGAGGAAAATATTTGTCTGTGTAACAGCAGAAACTAATACCCTTAGGGTGTGTTTGGTATAAGAGAAATTTTTTGGTGACTGGAAATCATGATTAATGGGAATACATTAGAAATTGAGTTTACTTGGAATCTTACGAAAGAGATGTTTGGTTCGCCAAAATATTACCGGGAATATTAGGTAAAAATTACTGATTCCATATTTACTTTAGAACGAAATATGCCTTGGAATATGAGGTTATTTTACAAAAATAACCCCAAACTATTTTTACTTTTGTAATTAATAGATTGGGTCTAGATTTTTATGTGTATAGGGATATTTTTGTCTCAAAATTTATTATTGTGTTTTCCATTTACTTGGTATTCTGATTGGTATTCTGAATTACCATATTATTTTTGGTAATCTGAATAGTGACTTTTCTTTATAAATCAAATTACCGGTAATCCTTGGATATCCGGGAATCGTAATTTATTCCTTCTACCAAACGTGGTAATTACATTTACCAAAGAAGGATTATCGGTAATCCTCTTCAAAAACTTGAAACAAACACCCCCTTAAAAGATTAATGGAAAGATTTATATTTATAAATAATTTTTTATAAATTATATATTCTGAAAAATATATTAACTTATATTATATATTTTTGAAAGTACATAGTGTAATTTATAATAATTTATAAAAATTTATAAAAAAAAATTATAGACAGATTCTTCCCTTGAATTAATTATCTCAAATCAGGGTGCAGGTTAATGTAGAATGGAAACGTATGGTCTTCAATCTTCATCACACTCCCGAATGCTGAATGCTGAATGTTTCAAACTCAAGTATGCTATTAAAAGAAATAAATAGTTTTATTTGAATCAGTGTCTATATTTGGATATTTAACGGAACAACCTTTGGAAAATTGGAGCCTCTCATTTGATCTTGCAAATGACATTTTATCTCAACTCCAGCCAAATGTTTTGTACTTTACTAAAGTTGTTGTTGCTTTGCTCCCACGTCCCTATCGTGGACCCCGAAAAAAATATATTAAACTTAAGGGGAATTTTTTATTTGTAAAACCTATATTTCCTTTTTTTCTTTCTTACATTCACATGGTTCCATATAGATCATATATTTTTATATATACAGGTCATAATTTTATTTCTTACAATATGAAAATATTAAATTTTTTATGGGAAATCATACTCCCATGCAATAGGAGAGTAAAATTTTTTCCTACACAAATTCGTTTTCCGTGCCAATTAATTTTTTTTTTCTTTTATAATATAAAATATGAGACCAACATTTAATTTGTATCTACTTTTGTTTTCTCATGTTTTCATGCAACATAAGAAAACATGAACTTTTTTATTTATTTATAAATACGTGAGAGACTATAATAACATTTTATCTTAATTTTTTAGGTGAGAATTTTAATATAAATTTATAGAAAAATTGTTAAAGAAAAAATGTTGATTTAAATTTCTATAAATTAAAATACAAATATACGTAGGTAATGTTTACGTTTTTGTTGAGCTAGGAAACTGTTTTTAATAAATTATTCCAATAAATGCTAAAGATATATATAAAGATTCTAACTAAAGTCTAACTGAAAATAAAATAAAGAAATAACTAATATGTTCTCGTTAACTTAACTCCTACCCACGAAATTTCAGTCACTTCATTATGTTCTGTGGGACTTTTGCGAACACTTAATTGTATGTGTATCCTTTTTCATTACCAATTATGTGTTGGAATGATTGAAAGAACAGGTTTAACGGTACGTACTTGGTTATTTGTAGCTAATATAAAAAAAATTATCTGGCATCTTCAATCATGAACAAAATTGCAGTAATTGTAAGTTGACCATTTTTTTTTTATTTTATATGGGTTTTATGTCTCTCCTTTCGTACGAGAGATTGTTCATTTTTCTGTTGATAGAAAAAACGATAGAAAAAAAAAACAAACGCAAACTTCAAAGTGTCACTAGTCAATAGGAGAGTTAAATAAAATTATATAGCAGGAGAGAATTTAAACCCATTTTATATTAATACTTTTTAATTATAAATATCAAAAACTTCATTTCTTATGTTAACTAAGCCTCGAAATAAATTAATAATTAAAAAGTGTTTACCAAAAATAAAAACGAAAAATTGTTGGGTTTTGCTCTTTCACTAGGTCTAGAATGTAAGAAGAGCCCAAGAAACCTAAAGTTCATTCTGCTTAGGGTTAGGATTTCTTGAAACGCATATATATTCTACACTTATAGTCATCAGCCTCTGTAGTCTTTACTTGATGGTTGTAGAGACTGAGATAAGGTCATCTCCCCGAAAGTGAGAGAGTGCCCACATACTTCCCGTTTTCCCTTGAGACATAGTCTGGGAAATCTGCCACAATCTAGCTTCAAGGAGGTTGTTCGTGCTGCGGCGCTGAGGTGAGCTGTTCGTGAAGAGGAATCATACAAGGAAAGATTATACACGAGACCTGCTCACCAAGAGGTAATTGTGAAACGAGGATGATTTGGTAATCATACCAATGTACTAGGTCCTAATCAGCTTCCACATAAACCCTATAGTTCCTACAAAAATATCAACACGGTCATCTGCTTCCATCTTTTGATTTTCTCTAGTTTTCAACTTTGGAGTTAATTTTAATGTATATGTGAGATATTTTTTTTAGTACTACACGAGTGTACCGAATTCAGTACACTCCTTTATTAAATAGAGAAAGTTTGAAAAGACATAAAAAAGAATTCAAGGATTAGAGTGAAAAAAAATTATTCATTTTAATAAACGAATATTGTAACACCCCGTATATATCCGGTAATGTTATCAAACTATCGTATTAAGCTGCGCTTAATTAAATATGCAGAATATCTTTTTCTTTTCAATTATGATGTTGTTAATCATTACCAACTTGATTACTTAACCATTTTCAAAACATCGCCTGTATGTACATTGCAATAAACAGCTAACTGAAATACCTCATTAATTAATTAACATAAGTTTGTCTCTAGACACGGAACTACCACACGTAGGCCAGACCAACTAGCAGTTTATACAACTCCAAGTATAAGTACTAATATCGGTGACATGGACAATCCCCATGCTCACACAAATAAGGCAACAAAGCGCAACATAAGTCTCAACTCAAGCAACATAATAAAAGTAAGCTAATACATCAAATCAGCAGATATAACCAGCATCCAACATGTCAGCATAAATAACAGCAATATCATCAACTAAGCTCCGGCTTTCTGACGCCAGAGACATCAGTCCCCATACTACCTGAACCTGAAATAAGCATTCCCCAAACGTGGGGTGAGATCTCTAAACAAGAAATCTCAATAAGACAAGGGGTCCTCAAGGATCTTCCACCCCAAGCTCACTTACATGTGCAATATAAGTTCAAAAGCAGTTCATCAATATCATTTCTAAACAATGCAATGCAGCAGATAATCATGTCATGTGTGTCAATACTATTATACTGATCAGAGAAATGCAGGAATACGTCTATTACCCACACAATATGCAAGACGCTACTTGCACCCACACAC